GGGATGATGGCGGGGCAGGTAGGCAGGCGGAGGCAGGCAGGCAGGCAGAGGCAGGCAGACGGAACGGTGCCTTGTTTGCGCTTGATAAATGTGCAGCGTTTTCTTCCGCGGTATATCGGCGATGTTTGCTCGTCGTTTAATGCCGACGACAACCTGACTCAAATATTTAGCACGTACAAGACGAACAACAAGACCGTCTACCACGTCTCCGTGAGCTTTCGTGTCTCGTCATGAGGCTCTCGGACATGAGGCTTTCGCGACGCTCGTGTTCCTCTTTAATGCGAAAAAAATGTAATGCACGCGAACTGAGCGAAGCGGAGTGCGCGAGCCTGTTCCAAATCACCGTGGATCAGTATAGTCTGTATAAATAGTAGTTTATCGCGCACAAAGTCTTTATTAACCTGGCAATGATAAGATTCAATTTCTGAGACGTTCATCACAAGTTGTACGAGCTATTGTTGTACTTCGCAGCTTTTTTCAGCAACTCCGACAGTGCCTGTTATCAGGATTCCAACTCTCGGCTTTTTGCCGTATCCAAACAATTAAAACTAATCAGAATATCAACTTTATTCATTAACAGACACAGCTTTATAATTATTACTTATAATAATTATTGAGCAAAACGTCAAAGTTCTCAGACTTGGAAACCTGAGTTTTATGAATCTTATTCTCTTGTTTCGAAATAAAAGTGATGAAAGTGAATGTTTGACTAAACAAAAGTTGATCAGTGATAATCGCAGAGATTACCATGGCTAAGTGATCACAATAGATTTACATAAATGTTGAAACTTCGAAGTTACGAATATATCAATGTAAGTCGGAGTTGCTGTTACTTACTGCGAGAGACCACGAAGTAGGAGAGGAGAGATGAACGACTCCTTCAAGACCAAGATGGAAACTCAACTGAAAGCTACTTAGGACTTGAAACCATACCCATTAGTGTTGCCAGCGTTATTAGACAAAATGTATCGCTTGGAGTACGCTCATATTGTTATTCCCGGGTTAATAATCGATTATACGCACCGTTCACATGCTCGTCCATTTAAGTTCCTATTTCCATTGTCGCGCCGTAAGAAACCGGCTGTTTTAATAGATAATCACGCGTGACATAAAGACGCCACTATATTTCTTGCGCTATGCGTGATGCGGAAAACGGTGGAATACAAGAAGAGTCACATCTTTGCGATCCAGTCTTTCTCTCTCTCTCTCTCGCTCTCTTTTTCTTTTTACCCGCGATTCGCCTTTCGATCCGGAATCGCAACTCCTGCAATGGAGCTCCGGCGATCTCCTCACTTGGTCTTTCGCGTAAAAAGCCGGCGAGGACGGAGGGGCGATTAGTTTCATCGGCGCGGCACTAATCATCCGCCGATCGATGGATCGTGAGCTTTAATTGCCCGTCTGGAGAACAATTATGGGATATCGGCTGGTACAAGAGCCGTGGCACAAGGTAGAGGTGGTGGAGGACCGTTCTCCAGGAAGGAAAGTCACATTGTGCCTGGAGATTCGTATCGCGGCTCCGATTCCAATCACCCAATCACGTCGTCGCTGTATCGCAAATTATCCGTAATCTCGAGCGCCACGGGCGCGTGTTATTTCCTTTTCTGGAAATAACACGTCGCCAGCAACGAGCGCATCCGCACTCGACTCTGCTGAGGACGTGCGTTGCTCGCAGCTGCAGCCAGCGTCGCGGATACTGTTGGCACGGCCGTTGATGCGTTCTCACTCGTTCCTGCTCGCTCATGGTGGCGAGCGACGCTGAAAATTGGCGGTGCACCGCCTTTTGGAGAAACGAGACCTCGGCGATGATGGCTACCGCTCGGCGAGCGAGCGAACAAGCGCAATCAGGAACTAATCATACACCGAGCATGCAGCGAACGATTGGCAGTGGCGGAAAAGGAGCGAGCGAGCGAATCAGCACTTCAAGCTGTGACGTGTAACGCGACAATTAGCAATATGTTCCGCCGTGGACTCGGTGATGAATGAATCCAATTTCCTCGTGCAGGTGTAGTCTCCCGTGCAACACGTTTCGTTATCGGCGACAGCACGTCGGGATTCATGAGTTCGTTCACGGCGACACCGTGAATCAAGGAGAGACTCGATCGCTCCTTTGGACATAATTACGGACAAAATAAGATAGCTCGTCTCAACTAACTTGACTTTGACTATATTTGACTTTATCGCATTTAATCGAAGCAGATTGTTCATCTATGAAATGATCACCGTCAGTAGCCTATGATCTTTTGTTGATTATTTGGCTAATGAATCATTTGTTGCCATCGAATGTATTCTTTGAGGCCTGTGTTCATAGTTTTCACCTGAAATTTGTCTCATGTGAGATACTTAAATTCTATTCAGATTCAGAGTTAAATCAAAGTTTTTCGGTTGAATTATGATTTGTGTGACATTGATAATTTGTAATCGGGATTCAGCTGAAAAGCTTTTACCTAACTTTGAGTGTAAATCTGAGTATCTGTTACTTGAAGCGAGGTTCAAGCAATAATTATTAGTACGTACCTAAGGGCTGTATTAGTAGTTGACACTAGAAATTTGTCTTATGCGAGATATTCAAATTTTTATTTGGAGTTAAATCCGAATTATACGAACTTAAGTTTTTTGGAGTGGAACTTCACTTAAAACGAGTGAAAAATAGCAATATTTTCACAAAGAATAAATGTCTTACTATGAGTGAATGTTTCAATCGATTAGAGTAAATATATTTCTGTGAATGCGCTTTGTTTCAAAACGATTTGAATACTCTTTTTCATGCAATTTGGTACACTAATGGTTTAATAAAAGAATCTTTAGAAATCGATCATTAAAAACAAATTCTTTCATTATCTCATTATTGACCACGTTCTAAAACATGTTGAGAAAAATGTCCAAACCGTTTTGAAATAAAATGTACATCAGATTCACTTTTCAATTTCGAGCGAAATTTCACTTCAAGAAATTTAGAAAGTAGAAAGTCAAATTGATTAAAAAGTTTAATTGTGCCTTTGACTGATCTAATGGAAATGTGGAAATTATATTTTTCAAAAGAATAGCGCTTTCAGATTTTTTTCGGAAGAGTGACGGTCGGTTCCGTTCGAAACTTTCCATAAAAGCTCGCAACTTTCCATACAAGCGTCTCTTGATATCTTGATAAGGGCGCATTATCGGCGTCGGCCGGTACGATTTTACGGGAATTACGATGCGGATTTTATCGAGCTCGGCGTCGTTGATTCGCGGTTTTCGATTCGCAGGCATCTTGCGGCATTTTAAAGGGAAGAGGCTGGGACTCGTTCAAGGCGAGCTACATGCTACTGCAATTAACGGGCCGATATTTCATCTGAAAAACAAGGCGAAACAAGCGATATTATTGCATCATGGTCGGCACACGCAGCTGTAAGAATACATTAAATCTCGGAAAGTGGTGCAACAAGCGTGCTCGCACGTCAGTTGCTCTCTCAGACAAACCCGCGGTCGTTAATAACAGTTACAATTGTGCGTGTTTCCCCTCCCCGCGACGTAACGATGAATAATAAGGATATCGGCTTGTGCGTAAATCGCATGGCGACTTCACGATGAATTTCGATTTCTATTCCGTAACGTTTCAAACAAACGCGTCGTTTTTCTCCTGCAATTGAATCCCCGAATTTCGATGCAAACGACACAAAACCGATTTAAAATATATCTGCGCCCACGTGTCTACCTGTCTGCCTGCGTTATTGCGCAATGCGAGCACGTGATAATTAATGGAGTAATTAATCGACAACGAATCGCGCCCGACGGCGCGCAACATCGAGTCGCTTGTTCGAACGCCGCAAATCCATCTCGGGGAATTAGCGCGCGCGCAAAAAAGCGGCACTAGCTGAACAACTTCATTCGATATATCCTTCGCGTATAACGTTACGTCGTAGTCGCGCATATGCATGCATGCGCCAGGCCATATTCCGTTTCTGCCATTCCGTTGCAAAACCGCCGCGGCATTTCATTACGCGATATCCCGGCATTGTGTAATGCGTATCGACAATAGAGACGCGTCTGTAATCGTCCGCGAAGGGATAATAGCGCTCGAGGGAGAATCCCGATAGGACGATAAATGATTAGATGGTTACTCGCATACCTGAAGATTTTATCGAAAATCTAAATTAGGACCGAGGTCTGGAGGTCGAGGGAATCGCGTAAGTGATAATTTTAATTGATCGTGCACTCTGAAGGGTCCTCCATAGAAACCTAAGTTAAGATTGAGGAAAAGCGAGAACTGCTAGTCGAGGGAGGGTAACATTTTCAATTAGTCATATATTTCGAGGATTTATCGAAAACTTATTTAGGCTTGTGAAATGAAAATTGAGAATTGGCTTCTTATTATCTGTGGCACGGAGCTTCAATCTCGTAAGCCGAATTAAGGATTGGTAATTGAAGGGAATTGCGTTAATAATAATTTATGAATGCGTGAATTATTGAAAGTTCTTCCAAGAATCTAAATTAGTACTAAGGGCTGAAAATCGAAAGTTGAAAGTCAAGAAAATCCAGGAAATGTTAATTTCCTGAGTTACATCGTGACAACGTTTCAAAGTTAGAGTAAATATGCAGTATAACGCTCTCACCTTGGATTTTTTCAAATCCTTGGTAAATTTGTATTTTTTAACATGTAGAATTGATTTCTGAAAGCGAAAATTGTCGCTCATTTTTTATTTTCTTGTTTCTTTTATTTTAATGTTTAATGATGTCGGTAAGTAGGGAAGTGATAACTTTCATTATAAAACTTAATTATTACATGCTTTTCTCTACTTTAATCAAAAGCATAAAACGAAAAATGAGCGATAATTTTCGCTTTCAGAAATCATTTCTATGTGTTAGAAAATACAAATTTACAAAGTTTGAAAAAAATTGAAGATAAAAGCGTTATACTGCATATTTACCAAAGTTAATTTTGCCGAGGGACAAATTGAAAATTCATATGCTTTCCCGTCGTAATTCAAGATATTAAAATTATGATTGTATTTGAGTTTTTACAGAAAGGACAATGAAACAGGTTCTGTCTGAAATCGAAGGAAGCACAGCGGTGCGAGAGGATATCGCGCGTTCTTTGTACCGAAAATCACATAATCGTTATGAGCCATCGGAACAAATCACGAGAGAGTGAATAATATGAAACTATTGTAAAATACACGCAAATAGTCGTGAAACTAAGTCATTTCGACTGTCGTTTCGCATTCGAGTGAATTCAAGTATGAGCCGCTTAATTCGTAATCGGGATTTGTCGTTGCAGTTACAAAAAGCCCTTCGACAAGTTTCAACGATTCGGTAAGCCCCGGAAGGGTCACGACTCGGAATCGCGAGCTATGAGAATTCTCGCGTGGATCAATCACGAGCCGGTTACGTTGGTTAATCGTCTGCAAGCAGATTTCATAGAACGCACAAGACCATCCGTTGGACGTATCAGGTAGTGCTCTTGAGCGAGAGCGATCATTAATCTCGCGACGTAGTGGCGGTATGACTTACAGTGACGATGCAATTTACGGCGACACGTTGGATCATAAAAGTCGACGCGAAGGACTTGTGTATCGCCAGATTACTGAATAAGAAATATGTTTAGTTTTTCGATCGAACGATTGATGAGAAAAACAGGGATTTTTTTTACGATGATTGATAAATTTCTGAGGGACCCGGAAACGTCGCGCTTTTATGCAGACGTCGTGCATGGCAAGAAAACTGTCAGGGACCAGTTCGACGTGTCAGACGCTTTGCGCGATTTCGATTTAAACGAGGAGACTCTCCTTTGGTGGCGATATCTTCAAGATCTGAATCATTTTCGTCGAGTGCTGAAGAAACGCATTCCCGAAGTGCCGTTCAAGAATATCGAAGATATCTTGTCTTGTCTAGACAAGGTAGACATGTAGCAATTTATCAACATGATTACGTATAAATATATACACAACACACGCGCGCGCGCATACACAATAATATATACACACACATACATTTTATGTATATAATATATACATAATATACACACACACATATATAAATTGTCAATTGTTATGTTTTTTACATTTATTGCAATGACAAGTTGATCCCGAAGTTTAATTAACAATTAATTTCTTCACGAAGATGCATGCTATTGGCAATTGTTCATCTACATGATGTCATTATCATATTGTCTTAAGAAATGTGTCGGAGTTTTACCCGAGGATCAAGTTTTCGCGATCATGAGAGAATATTGTATATTAAACGAGGAATTGCTCGCACCGTTAATAGAGACGTTGCAATTACGCAAAGACGGAAGTATTAACTACAGAGAATTACTAGATCTTTTAAATTGGAGGCGCAGTATGCCGGTTTTACCTAAGATGCAACGTAAGTGAATTGCGAGAATTCTTATAAAACTATTAGTTTCCTTAAAAGTGCAATAAATTAACTTTACAATCGCTTCTAAATCGTTGGGCTGTCTAAGATCGGCGTCGTGTAAGGACGATTCTTTAATAACATACTTTTACACTAATTAATTAAGGATCCTTTTATATTAACAATAATTTAAAAAATGTTTGTTTAAACTCCGAATTATTTAATACTTTTCTGCAACGATGATAATATTATTAAAAAATATTTTTTCAGAAGCGTCATTCGCGAGTTCGGATTATGTTACCACATACAGCGCTGGCATAGGAAGTCTTTCGATGTTTGATAACACTAGTAAGGCTTCTGTATATTTTCTTAATATCTCTGTATTCCTTTCGATACTAGAGCAATGAATATTCGCAATACGAACTTTCCAAAATGTTATAGAGGTTCACGCGGCTGGGCTCCCATCTGTGAAGTCGGAGAGACCAAGTATAATGCTAATACGTGCAGATATAAATTTGGATAAGAATTTAGACGATCAAACTCATTCATTGCTCGATATCGCCAGAAGCTCTCACAAGACACGACTTTAACGCATACAAATCTTTTTACAGTAGTTCCCATTAGCGTGACTGCTTAGCACGTTATATTATCACACAATACTTTAAAGATTTCAGTAATCAAATGTGTCTTTGATATACAAATGATTCTTAGTTAGATATAATTACAATAATACGATAGACACTATTCTCACTAAGAAACGTGGCTTGTAGGCTCACAATAAAGAGGAAATTTGGAGCATATTTGAAGATGTCGGTTTCAAATTTTCAAAGAATAGTTTCGACGTCCTTTGGCAAAAGGCACTGCTGAAAGGTCGTACGGTGTATGTGTAGAAACATTTCGGCAGCTACTTGCTGCAGGCTATATGGTGAAGAAAGAAACTTATGAGTAGAAAATACGAGCCATTTATTCTCTATGTAAACATTTTTTTCTTTAAAAGAAATCTTAGTGGATGAAACGAAATATACAAAATATATATTTTAGATATAACAAATAATGTTTCAACTAGTGATACTTTTTTCGAATAGTTATATTAAAATCGTGTTATAATAGCTGATTTATTATTGAGTACTTAGCACTTTCAGGACCACAGTGTTTGAAATATGTTTGACAGAGACAACTTTTGTGTTTCTGGTCTCCAAAGTGATAACATATATATTAAAAACTAACTATACAATATACATTATTTATAGTATATCAATCTACTGGTTTTAAGAATTTTGGTTTTTTCCGTAGTGGCTTGGCTTTATCCTCACTATTTTGCACATTTTTACGCTTGTTCGTAGTTCCGAACTTGTTTCGTAATTTTTGCCATTGAACAGTCATTTGTTCGTCCGATACTTCAGTCTGAAGTTCCTCCTCCATTATTTTTTCCTTATTCTGCATCAATTCCATGTACTTTTCAATTACTGGATTCATTCCTTGAAAACTCATTCTACCATTGACAAGGTTCTCACAAAATACATAACTTGGTTCTATGACGAATTTTTCTCTGAAAGATAAAGTAAAAGCAACTATTATGTAAACAATTAATATGTATCGAGTAAAGAAAGAAAAACCTAAATATCAGTAATATACTTCTATAGTATATATTAAATATTAGGAGAACTAAAAGATATATGTTATTGTAAATCTAAATATATCTCAGAAGAACCAAAAGTAGTAGTAAACAAGTGTATTAATTAAAATCTGTGCTGAAGTTTGTGTATATTCATAAAAAGTACTTACGATTCCTTCTTCATGCGTTCTGTAATTTGGTTTCCAAAATAGATCTCTCCTTCTTCTTGAAATTGTTGCTTTTCGACTTTTTCTTTCGTTCGTTGCATGAACTAAAAATATAGCACTTATTGCAAAACAATGCTGTTCTTTGTGACTTTGTGATTTTATATTATAAATTTTTGGACTTACTTTCATCTGCAGTATGTTTTTTGACAAGGTTATCTTCTCTGTATTCATGATTGCAAATGCTTATTTCGATTAATCTCATAAAATTAACAACGATATTATAAGTAATATCTGAATTATTTCAAAACAATTTAAGTTTTTCAATTTATATGCCTTGATATATACAAAACACAATGCGATGTAAACAAGGCAAACTAATAGCGAATTCGGTAGCTTGCACTAGTGCGCACTGAGTGCGCATTAAGGCTTGTTTACAGTACATTCTTATATTTAAGATCGTGTCTTAAATACATATTTAAAAACATTTTAACTAATAAAATGATTCGTACGGATGTTATACATATCATATTATGGTTAAAAATATTTGAGAATTTATTTGAGAATTATTTAAGACAATTTTTAAATATAATAACATACTATGAACAAGCCTTAGTGCGCACTCAGTACACACTAGTGCAAGTAACCGAATTCGCTATAAGTCATCCAACCTCACTTGTGAAAATTGCTAGAGACCCTTTAGGGCTGCGTTCAGATTCCACACCCGGGTGTATTCTATTACTAGAAGTGCTATAGTATATGTAACGTATACTATAGTTTTTCTAGTAATAGAGTGCACCCGGATGAAGAATCTGAACGCATCCCAAGGTAGAGATGCCCGATTCTGAATCGATTCGATTTTTTCCCCAAAAACAGGTTTATTCGTGTTGTTTGCACTCTTCGCACTTTTCGTATTTAAAACCAGACAAAAGTATATTGGAATGTTTGGAAGAAGTAAAAGCGAGACAACCAACTCGATTGTTTCTTCCAAGCGTCTGATTAGGTGTCCATTTCTTTTTAAAAGCGAAAAGTATGAAACATGCAAGCAACACGAACAACCCTTTTTCCCTAAATTTGTTAGAGAAAGAATCGAATCGATTAAGAATCGGGCATCTCTACTTCAAGGGTAGAGTCACTAGAAAAAGTCTGGCCAACTGGGGTAGAATTTTTATTGGCTCTAAGCTATTTTGAAGCAAAATGGCGGAACCAATCACATTCCCGTTTTGAGTAATATAAGAGCGTTCAACCTGAGAACGGGCATCCTCTTTGTATAATGAGGTATTGGGTGCTTGCCAATTGCTTAAAGCCCGTATCAGACTGTAGATTAGGATTGAGATTGAATTGAAATTTAGCCAATCAGAGCAAAATCCACTAAGCTCAAGTTTGGTGAACTTTGCTCTGATTGGCTAGTTTTTAATTCAATCTCAATCTTAATCCGTAGTTTGATACGGGCTTAACACATCTTGATACATATATACACAGAAATGCACAAAGTGTAACGTTGTGCACGATTCAATTTGAACAAAGTGTATACGTATGTCGGGTAGGATTAGGATTCTTTTTCAACTGTGCTTATATTTTGGTATTTTTTAATAATAAATAATAAAATATAAATATTAAAAAAGATATTATCTACTTCACGTCGCAAATGCCAGTCTTTTTTCAAGCCGCTTGTTAACTTTAATTGTCACTAGAAAACACTAGTTTACACAATCGACTAGTAGCCCTCGAGCTGAGTACGAATGTGTAACGTTGTGTCGACGATTACGACAATTGGAATGCAACTTGTGTCGCCGTATGCATGAAAGTGTCTAAGGATATTGGAATTGGAAAGCACCTATTGTAGGTTCACATAATGAATAAAACGGGTCATAGCTAGATTTTAAAGTTAGATATAAGTATATGGTAAGAAAGATGTAAGTATATGGTAAGAAAGCAACGTAAGTTCCCTTTTTACCGCTCTATGGCCGGTATTCATAGATGTTATATCATCTTAAACATCTTTAAGATCATCTTAAGTACTGTCTTAAGATGTCATGAACCAATCACAGAGCCATATTCGTATCTTAAAACATGACGGATGCTTGTGGAAACTTACTTGTTCGACCAATAAACCAATAACCCAGAGTGGGTTAACCCAGAGCCAGTCGAACATGCTATTAGTGGGCACTAGTCATGTGCATCAATCACGCGGAATCCCCGAATGTCCAGTCTCTACTCAAGGGTCTCTAGCGCCTAGCTTTGGCTACTAAAATCGAACTGGTAGCCGCTCTCAGGCTTCTCTTTGCTCAAACTAAACATGAGATGTAACACGGAGTAGGGATACGCGCTACATATTCTGCGTACAATTGTATGTATGCAAAATTTAAATTAAAATACCGAAAATTATAAAAAAAGCAAAATAAAAATGGTAGATTTTTAAAGAGGACGTATGATAATTAGGGACAATTTAACTTTCTAATTTTGTTATGCGTTCTAAAACTTTATTCGTTGGAATAGGATTTAATTGACCAATCAGAACAGAGAGAACTAAGATTTTGTTATCATGATTATTAGATGTTGCGCTCTATGCACAATGCCAAGCAACAGGCAATAGGAACAAGGAATTCGTATTGGTCAATTATTTCTATTCCCTGTTCCTATTGGCCAATGCCAATTTCTATTGCCTGTTGTCTAGCATTGTGAATAGAGCGTAAGACCCGATTATGAATATGGCCTTATGGCTCTTGCACACAGGACGCGGTAATGCTTGCTGCGCGGCGAAAGCCAATCAATATGTTGCTTTCCATAGTAACCTTCTAGTTCTTACGGAAAAACAACATATTGATTGGCTGTCGCGCGGACTTCTACCGTGCAGCAAGCATTACCGCGTTCTGTGTGCAGGAGCCATAGTTATCAAACTAAAACACTCGAGGCGAAGATCGATTTAGGGTGCGTTCGCTTTGAACGCTTATGCGCTTTAAGTGCTTATAAATATCGCTCATGTCGTTCACTTTGGCACTATAAGCGCTTAGAAACTGCATATTGATGTCATGCATGACGTCATAACTCGCGCTTACATTCGCTTTTTCTATCGAGATAGGACAGTAAAAGCGTGAGTACTTATAAGCGCTTATTTTCCAAAGAGAACGATAAGTTAGATTGCGTCGATGAAATCGACGCAATCTAACCTCCAATATAAATCTTAAAGTGAAATAGTGTTTCAAAATGACTTCCAACGAAAGTAACAAAACCAGAGTAACTCTGCAAGATGTTACAAATAATAAAATGTATACACTTGTTGTTACATCAGATGAGGCAAAACGTGTAGAAACAGGTAAGTTTAGGACACCTCTCATAAAAATTTATTATTTTTGTTATTAAATCATATTTATTTTGAGTAATAAAGCACTGTCCAACAGTAATTAAAAAAAAAAATAAGTAATATTTCAGTAACACTAGTAATACATTTGATAAAGGAAACGGATTTTCTCACAAATTTATCTAAATCTTCATATTTTGTTGTATAAAACATAAATATGAAAGTTAAAATCGTTGATTTTAAATAAAACAAAAGTTATAAAGTGAAAAGTTATTAAGATGTGACTTAAATACTTCATCATTGTATAATGGTACAACCACTTCCACATAGTTTTTTAACCGAGTGTTTTAGTTGTTTTTTTATTGATCCAATCATTACGGATAAATACTTTTCTAATTCTTTTTTATATAAGTTATTTGTTTCGTTATCATCAAAAACATGTAATGAAACTAATATTTGAGCAAATACACAAACAATTTCCTTATCTTTGTCCTCCATTTTTACGCTCACAATTGCTTATAATTGCCAAAGGAAACAGTTTTGATCTTTTCGATGAGTGCGCTTAGAAATCAAAGTAACCGGACAAAAATAGCGCTTATAAGCGTGAGCGCTTTAAGTATGTGAGCATACAAAACGAACGCACCCTTGGAAATATCGAAAGAGCACTCGATACTTCAACAAAGAACATCGATTCTATGGTCAAATGTCGCCCTTCTTATAGAAGCTTATTTTATAGGCGGATCCGTAGGATTTCTCGTGAGGTAAAATGCAGGTATTTAGAGCGAAGAATTTGGCTTGGAAGACAAAGTGCACCAGAAAATGACGTAGTAGTGTAAATTCCGGAAACGTATTAATTAAGGAACGTGGCAAGAGGACCTTAAACGCGCTCAGTCAAGTTTATATCAAAGGTATGCTCATACCCGCGCACGGCCATGATCAATAATAACAGTAATTGCTCCAACAGTTCGGTATCAGACATGTTCTGTAGACTGAAAAAGGGATATTTACGTTTTATTATTCTATGTCCGATTAGTATCATTGAAATATGTGACAGAAATCTCACATAATTCACCTTTGTGACTCACTACATTTTTCATTTGACACAGAATGAATAAAAAAATATCAAAAACGACATTTTAGATTACCGTTGTCAAATAGTTGCATAAAATTCTCGTTTATACGTTTTAAATGTAAGATCTGTTTGGTAGTCAATAGGTTGAAAACTGTTAATCTAACATAACCCACTGTATAGTTTACGAACCTCATATAGTATTCATATAAAGTCTCTTAGATATTCACACATATATTCTCTGTTATTTATATCTTATGAATGATATATAAACAGTACTAACATATTTTATAGGAAAGGCATAATCATCTTTAAAGATGTTGAAGCGATCAGCGGATAATGGGGACACCAGTTCCCAGCCACCTATCAAAAAAGTCCAATTTGAGCCGATTTTAATCGGACCTATATCTACTTTAGAGGAGATGGACATGAAGGTGTTACAATTTCAGAATAAGAAACTGGCACAGGTTTGGAAAATTTGTATAATCATATATTGTACATATATATATAAATATGTATGTATATACATATCAGAAACTCATATTAGAGATATAATACAAACCTAAATTATATATTATGTATATATATATATATATATATATATATATATACATATACATATATATATATACATATATATTAATATAGTATATAATTTAGGTTTGTATCATATCTCTAATATGAATCTCTGTCAATTTCAGAGATTAGAACAAAGACACAGAATGGAAGCTGAATTAAGACAACGTATTGAGCAATTGGAAAAACGTCAAATGCAGGATGATGCAGTACTTAATGTAGTTAATCGATATTGGAATCAACTTAACGAGGATATACGTGTATTGCTTCAAAGATTTGATGCTGAAACTGCAGACGAATCGGAAAATAAAAGTAATAAATACATCTGTAAAAGAAAGTAATGTGTTTTAGTGTATGACATTCTTTTTAATCAGTATCTTCTTGTTACAGACGAGAGCGAGGCTACGACGTCATTCCTCATGCAATTATCTTCTTGGGACAAAGAGGAGCTGGATGATAAATTGGCGAATCGAGTACAGGTATCTAAGCGAGCAGTGTCTAAAGTTGTACAGGCATTTGATCGTTTGTCTCAAAGAAATGAAAAGATCACGCTTGCCCTCAAAGGGGAGTTTGATGGTGGTAAATATAAATAATTGTCGTTGGGTTATGCATGTAAGATTATTTATTCTGAGGTGATCTTAAAATTGCTCTTATGTGTGCAGATGAGGCACCAAATATCGATGAGGTAGTACGTCGTGCGAATGCGGAGATACAAATGGAAAATAGAAATCTGCAGGCAATAAACATACAACTACATGAGAAATATCACACTATTTCATTGAAGGTAATGCGATATAACTATTTTTACATGTCTAGATGTTATTTATCTTTCCTTTGTTGCATTATTTATTATACACTTATACACAATTATATCTGTCTTAATGCTTCATAAATTATGGCTGTCATAAGGTGTTTTTTACATTTCTTCGCAGATGTCAGAACTACAAGACACTATAATGGGAAAGGATACACTTGCGGCAGAATTGCGAAATCAGGTGGATGATCTGCAGTATGAATTGAATAAAGTGCGAGCACGAAATGATAAATTGGAACACCATCTCGGAGAGGCGATCGAAAAGTTAAAAGCTTTCCAGCAGATTCATGGCACAGATGAAAAGGGTAGTAATAAACCCAGCACTTTGGTTGCATCCAGTGTTTCACAGACTAAGGTAAAATTCGTTTTCCTCATATGCAAATTTTAATTTAAGTTATATAGTTTAATGCAAACATGTATCTCTTCATTTGTACAGCTTGAGGATCTGCAAAGAGAGTTGGAAGAGACGCGCGAATTGGCTAACAATAGATTACAAGAATTGGACAAACTGCATCAACAGCATCGTGACACCTTAAAAGAAGTGGAGAAATTGAAAATGGATGTGAGTACGTTATGATTTTTGTAGTGGTAATTATCACAACAAAGCGTAGACTAAATAAAACATCGATGCATCAATTTGTCGCTGCAGATAAGGCAACTGCCCGAGTCGGTGATAGTAGAAACGACCGAGTACAAGTGTTTGCAATCACAATTTTCTGTATTGTACAATGAGTCTATGCAGTTAAAAACACAATTGGATGATGCTCGTCAACAATTACAGTCGAGCAAGAATATACACTTACGTCATATTGAGATGATGGAAGTGAGTCCTTCATACATAAAAGGAGATTTGTATGTTTAATTTAAAATTGAAAATTAAGAATTTCATTTTTACTGATATAATATCATTTTGGCAGAGCGAAGAGTTAATGGCCCAAAAGAAGTTGCGTGGTGAATGTATACAGCTTGAAGATGTTTTGGCGCAATTGCGCAAGGAATATGAAATGCTTCGCATCGAGTTTGAGCAAAATTTAGCGGCTAACGAACAAACGGGTCCGATTAATCGCGAAATGCGACATCTCATCACTTCCCTTCAGAATCACAATCAACAGTTAAAAGGAGAAGTGATTCGTTACAAGCGAAAGTATAAGGAGACTTCCACCGAGATACCACGGGTGCTTATTAGATTATTTTAGTTATATATATTACATCACTATAGCTTTCACTATTTTTACATAAAATCGCTTATTAAATATGTAGCTGAAAAAAGAAGTAGAAGAACTGACAGCGAAATTGGGTCAGCAAACATCTCAAGAAAACAAAGAAGGTAACAATTCAGATGGCAGTGGGAAAGAGGAGGATGCCCCTAACTCCTTGCCAGGTTCTACACAGGTACCCAACTTTTATCAAGAGTATAAATTCCTATCAAAAACTCTGATCACAAACTACTCTTGTATTGTTTAACCTACGCAATATTGACGGTTCGTACAACAATGCTTGCTAAAACTACGATGCTTGGATTCGAGTCGATTCAAACATCGTTCAGCGTGTATTAATTACAAACAATACATTCTCTTTATTCATTATTCTCGCTATTAATTTTTTGTCTTTAACATGGCAAATAGATAAAAGAAGAAAGTGGTGTTAACATAAAAAGGGAAATTGTTGATGAAGAAGTGGAAACTATCGAAGTGGGAGAAGGTGAAGGTAGTAAAGGAACTCCTGATTCTGTAACGTTAACTTCACCCACTATAAAAAAAGAGAAAGACATCAAACGTGAGAAAGACATTAAAAAAGAATCTGTAAAAACCGAGCATCGCGATCCAGTACATCGTAACAAGGACACAAAAATGGCAGAATCAGAACTTGTCAGAGATTTGAAGGCACAGCTAAAGTATGTTGAAAAAAATATAAAGTATTCTCAAAACTAATATGATAATATGAACTATATTTAATACTGCGCTCTTTAACTTAGATTGATTTTTGCTTATGTATAATATCGACGATTACAGCATCGTTATGTAGATACAATGATATACAATTTTAGAAAAAAAGGCAAATATATGATTGTAGAAAGGCTGTGAATGAAATGAAAGAGATGAAACTTTTATTGGATATGTACAAAGGTGTTGGGAAAGAGCAACGCGACAAGGTACAGTTGATGGCTGCAGAACGTAAAACGAGGGCAGAGCTGGAAGATTTACGGCAGCAAATTAAGAAGATTCAAGTATGTCACGATAATTTTCTTTATACATCGTAATTATGTACTGCGTATTATATAATATTTTTTTTACTTATATATATATATATATATATATATATATATATATATATATATATATACACATTGCAATAAAAATGTAATTAACACAGTTATAAGCACAGTTATAATAATTGCATATAATGTAATGTAACATTATAAATGTTGTCATTTTCATAGGAAAGTAAACGTGAAGAACGTAAAAAATTGGCTGACGAGGATGCGCAGATAAAAATTAAAAAGTTAGAGGATCAAGCATACACATTGCAACGTCAAGTGGCTTGTCAAAAACAGGTAGGTCGCGCTTCATAAAATTCTCTGCGTTTATCGTAACTTCTCAATACGATAAGCGATGATAGGTCTCGCATTTTTCTTTGTAATCCTGAAAGCTTTTAATATTGAAAAGCAGACGGCTTTATTTAATCTTTGTAGTGCACACGAACGGTGGTGTAACACTGAACAGAATTGTGTGTGGCTGCAGGAGGAGGAAGCGCTTTTGAACGAGATGGAAGTGACGGGACAGGCGTTTGAGGACATGCAGGAGCAGAACTCGAGACTGATACAGCAGCTACGCGAAAAGGACGACGCGAATTTCAAACTCATGACGGAAAGAATCAAGAGCAATCAGCTGCACAAACTCGCGCGCGAAGAGAAGGACGTATTGAAGGAACAAGTATCCACACTAACCACACAAGTAGAGGCGGCCAATGTCGTCGTACGAAAACTGGAGGAGAAGGAGCGTCTTTTGCAGAATTCTCTCGCGACTGTCGAAAAAGAACTAGCCTTGAGGCAGCAAGCAATGGAAATGCACAAACGAAAAGCGATAGAAAGTGCACAATCGGCCGCCGATCTCAAGCTCCATCTTGGTAAGACTTATTAAGTACAAAAGATGCAAAGAGTAGACATATGTAATTAGTGTAGATTGTTTTCAATAAGAGCTTAGTGTGATTTTTGTCACAGAAAAATATCATTCCCAAATGAAAGAAGCGCAACAGGTAGTGGCTGAGAAGACAAGCTCTTTGGAAGCTGAAGCATATAAAACTAAAAGATTACAGGTACATATTCCAAATTTACTGTTACGTTAGATACATAAAAATTATAAGATGTAACCATCATTTATATAGTATCAGTATATTTTCCTTCAATTTACATAGCCAAGAAAGGGATTTGATTTATATTATGATTATATTCTTTAACTACACTACGTGCGCACTTGCCTATAATCGTTAATACTATTTTATTAATCTATCAAATATGTCTGCAGGAGGAAATAGCGCAACTTCGACGTAAAGTCGAGCGTATGAAGAAGATTGAACTCGCTGAGACCTTGGATGAGGTGATGGCGGAAGAGTTACGAGAATATAAGGAGACACTTACTTGCCCATCCTGCAAGGTGAAACGCAAAGATGCCGTACTCACAAAGTGCTTCCATGTGTTTTGTTGGGACTGTTTGCGTACGCGTTATGAAACGCGACAACGGAAATGCCCGAAGTGCAATTGCGCATTCGGCGCAAACGATTATCACCGACTGTATTTGTCCACATGAAGAAAGAGACGATACTGATTGGTTCGATGGTGTACTACGACCTACAGCGACAGAGACATCTTGCAATACCCGCATTTCTCTTTTTTTATATTTTTTTATTTATTACTTTGACTTTTTGTGGAAAACACGACCTTCTGAGCGCGTAAACGTGGAATGATCACGGATTTTGTAAGATTCTTATTGTTTTGTCGACTGAAAGGAAAAAAAATTAAAGATGGAAGTTAAAGAAGGAAAGATATATATAGAGAGAGAAAGAGAGAAAGATCAGCTGAAATTAGTGTTTCATTTTTAATATGTCAGTAATATTCATATTAAGCTGTAAACTTTTATGGGTAAGCTTCTAGTTTCATCTGTTAGGTAAAAGAAATATTCTTACAGTTTAATCTCTTCTTTTTAAATCTGCATAAAATTATTAACAAGGCTATGTGTAAGTATGATCAATATTCTAGATCATTGGTTCTCAAATTTATATTAGACTCTGCCTATACAAGCATTTCACTTTCCTTTCTCTTTTTTTTAAGAATATATGTATATACGTAAAAATTATATACATATTACACACACACACACACACACACACACACACACACACACACACACATATTACTTTACTTTAAAGAAAGAGAATGTTATATATAATGTAGAGAATAAATTTATGAAACTAAGGAGTCAATCCCATTTGCACAAATTTGGGAGCCACTGACTTAAATCAATAATCGCGTTCAGCAGGTGCAAAACTGAACACTCGTTCTTTTGTATTGTCTGAGTTTGATTCGATTGTATAACACTATTGTATATTATATTTACGCCAATCAAACTCAATACTGTTACTCGAAGTTGTGAATCTGTTGAATGCAATTAATGGGCTGATGGAATTCTATATTTTGGAGGTTAAGTCACTTCATCCTTTTATCTTTCCAAATTGAGAATGATGAGAAGTATCGAAAGAATGTTTTAATCTTTTCTAATTATTCCTTTTTAATCTTCTCATTAAAATTTGGATTAATTTTTGATAACTAATAATTAACTGACAATTTGGATATCATATAGAATTAAATATAATTTGATTTTGCTTATAACATACGAACAAGAAATTACTTTGCAATGATCAGACTGTTTAACATTATTTGATATTCAATAATTTACTTATCTTTTTTTACTATGTACATTATTATCATAATATACATAATTCATAAAATTAAAAGAGAAAAATAGAAATAATTGGTTAATAGAAAGTGATGTAATGTCTATTAAATTTTTTGACAGACAACGTTCGCAAATGTCGTGTTGACATCAATATCTACATGCAAATAATTTGTCATAATGTACAAATTTTACGTTCTCGCTTACAACCCGTGTCTGCTGAATCAAGAGTTAAATATTTTGTAGAATTTACTTTCAAGATACCCATACTAGTTCGCTGTATCATGATATAAATATGTTCTCAAATATTTTCGTGTATGAATATCAATTATGATATGTCTATGTATACACGTTCGCATATACTATAACGTAAGACAAGAAGAACAGACAAATAGTAGAAGTAGTGAATTAGATAATTTACCTCGCTATAAGAATGCATCAAGTGTGTAGGATAAAAATAGAGTGTAAAAGCTGTGTTTCAGTAGAATTAAGAGCTATCTGTTTCTAGACTTTTATTTTATTGAACCGTTTGTAACTAGATCTCTCGATTTCGATGAATTTCAAATGTGTTGTAGGATAAATTATGCAAATAAGCAGTTACGTATTTTCTTTTCATCACGTATCTTCTCATCACTATAGTTTAAAATTTCCCGGGAATGTAATTTCTAAAAATTCACTGAATATAGGAAAGATTACTTCAAAATGTCACAATACGTAGAGATGTGCATTTTATATAAAAATTAGAGAGATGATTAGATGAATAAATTTCACCTTCTCCAGTAACTATCCAAAAAAAGTTTACAAGTTCTAGAATTGTCTTGTATAAAGATATTCTCAAATAATGTTTCAATTCTAAAGACGCAGTACAAAAAGAAAGTTCTTTTTTAGCTATTTTAGATATGATGGATTTCTAGAAGTCGGTGACAGAAACGTTTTAAACGTTTCTTCGTTGACGATGCGTTAGCTTACATTTTCTTTGATGCATTTTTTTATATTTTTTTACTTTTACTTATTAAGATTTCAGTTCTTTTTGCTGATTAAATCAAATGCGAAAAAAAGTAAATAAAGATGAAAATCAGCATTCGTATCGAATGTCTTTTTCTCTTTTTCTCTCTTTGCGTCATGTGTAATAGCATTAATGTGTCGAGCATAATTAAATCGATTTTCGGTGACGCAGTTGTCGGAGCATGATAATATACTAACGATTTATAATAGTTGTATAAGTGGTGAATGTTTTTTTCATGGCTGTTTGGGAACAATTTCGGTAGGTCGCTTAGTCGTATTTTTTAATTTGTAAAGTTTATCTCATGTCTAAAATTTGTTCAAAAATTCCCTGCATAGTTTCAATAATTACCTAATCTTCGTTTATTTAAAGCAATTAACTTCTATTTATGCTAAAATAAATTATATCATATTTCGAACTGTTGAAACCTGATTCAGAAACAAACTTTCGAGAAAAATCATATTTATAATGACAGTATTATATTCCTAGCGAGAAGTCTGCTATATTATCATATAGTAATCTTCCCTGAAGAATATAAACTAAATAGAAGTGTATAAGTTTCGTGTTGAACGACAACAGCGTATAATTATCTTATCATCTATCAATTATATGTCACAATTAAATCGAAGTTATAAGACGGATGAAAATAAATTCTCAATTTTCCTTCATCTAAAATATATTCGTAAATATTGCACTCTCTCTTCCTCTTTTTCTTTGCTGAAAGTTTTCGTATTTTGTTCATATTACGACTTGAAAAATTTAATATTTCGATCACGAACACCGAAGGATTAGGGTTGGAAACGGGATGCGGATAGTTAAAATGATTCAGCTCAAACGAACTTGTTGTACGAAATTCTTTCGGAGATTTTATTCTATTTTAAGAAATTTGTTGAAAACCCTAAGAAACAGTTCTACATAAGCTTGAAAATATCAACGAGAAAAGCCTAGTTCGATCTAAATCATGTGTCTTTTTTCTTTTTTTTGGTTTTTTTTTTTTTTTTATTTTTTACAAAGTTACCTTCCGGAAAGCCTCCGCCGGTCCTGATACGGCGAGATACAAACGGCCACTCGATAAACACTATGGACAGGCAATTTTTTTTCGACGTGTATTATATGTATATATCGAATAAAACTTCATCGAGATACGCTAGAGTAGAAGTACGTGTGTCTAGTGCAACCCCCGTGAAGAATAGCCGGTCGAGAGGAAAGCTGACGGGAATTCTGTTTTGTGAAATTGCGAATCCCTAATGTTTGGAATGAAGATGGTGTTTGTTTCTGAGATCGCCTTCGAATCTCTTTTCTTCGAAACTATTTTATTTTTATCTTTTAATTTATTTAAGCGTGAATTAAATTATTGAACGAATTATTTATCTGATTATCCGTACAATACAAAACAGCGTCGGTTCGCAAATAGACAGGGACAGCGAGGAAAAGTTTGGCCTGACTTGCTCGAGTGTATTCCCGATCTCGGATATACGGAAATTCAATTTCGCGCAGAGCGAATTCCCGCCAATTCCTCTTTATCTACCTATTTTCCACAGGGACGTGACGATACGATCTGGTATTTTATAAACAGAAGCTTTAAACTCTCGGCGCGCGCGACACTTTCTTTCTTCCTTTGCGAGAAAACGCGCTCGCATATACAAGGATAAAAATAATTATTCTCTTTCGCGAAGGGGCGAGAGGAGGCTATCGATTATAATAATAACTCACTAAACGATAAACAAATAATAAATAGCTGCGATAAAATTATGCGACGTAAAACCGTGACAACAATAATTCGTGATGCATTTTGCGAAATTATGCTAATTGCATGTACACGTTGGACACACATCAGAGCAGAAATCAAAATATTATTTTCCCCTATTAATTTCAATCACTGGAGATCGATAGTGTTAGCATTTATTTGCTAGTTTCGCGATAAAAACTCAATTCGTATAATTGCTTCGTACGGGTGCTGGAAAATATGTTTATAATAACAACTAAATTGGAAATATGTATGGAAATATGGTATTTCTCTATTCTAAAAGTAACATAACGCAACGTAAGTCGCGAAAATGCCAAAATTTCGGGATGCTCGATCCGAAGTATAAATTAACTATTTTGCGTGATAGAGAGAAAGAGATATATTATTGCATATGTATATATGTATATATATTTATATTAGTCGATCGTCATTTAGTTTGATGTTTAGATAGAGTTTATTCAATTTGACTACGTCTTTACTTTGAAAAATTGGACGACAAGCACGCGCTTATCGTCCTAAAAGTATTTCATAAACCAATGAAAGCGGGACCCTTTTCTAAAATTTTCGGTGAATGATATCTGTATAAAAAGCATGTTACACTCTCTTTTTACAGGACCAAGAAAGTTTATATACACGTGTGTTTCGTGGGAAGTGCTTCCCTTCTAGATTATTCTATAATGCTGAGACAATTATTTATAACTTTATGCGCAAGCTGCACCAAACGCTGACTGTATCTTCATTTTTTTCCTTTTAACAAGAAGAGGCGCGAAAAAACAGCTCTTGCCATCGCTTTTCAGTTGACACACACGCGCGCACACACATACACTTATACCCACACACATACACATACATACGATTCGAAAAACTCAAGCTCTTCTCTTCTTATAACGAGTAAAAATTACATAGTTTAAAGAGAGATCAATGTTGAAGGATAAAGAAATCGGGGAAGCGGAATTCTTCCAGGTCCCGGCGAAGAGAGCTCGGTTGCTCTCTCTTTCTCTCTGTGAGGGATGCATTGGCGAAGGAAGAAGTAGCGAGTTTGGTGCAGCTTGCACACATAGAATATTTATAAACAATATAGAAATCACACAATTTGGATACATTTCACAAATAATCTGCTTATTGAAGGGACTAAGGTATCTTCCGACCTGATCGAGCGATCGATCGCGTTAATTGACGCCCTTTACCATATCCATGCCATCAATTACATATTTGTATCTATGTTAGTTTTTTTTTCGCATATATTGCTTAATGTTGATCAGTCCACGCTAGCTAAGGTGTGCGAAATTATTCTCGACAGGAAACCGATTCCAGCTCCTTGCACTTCTTCGGCACTCGTGCGAGCGACTCGTGCTTCCCGTTCGGATTGTCACTCGGGTGGGAAGGGTCGTTGTAAAATCTTGCAAACTTTTGCATTCTATTGACGATAGAATCATTCGAACAATGATCGCGCGGCGATTCATTCTTGATAAAGCGCGGGAACAATTGCTACCGCTACTTTTAGCGATTAATCTCTTCTCGCGAAAAAGTTTTTCAACGACAAGGGTAACTTAATTTGTTATTAATTTGATTTAATTTGGAATTTATAACTCAATTCATTCGAACGACGATGCGCGATCGATCGCGACGGATATGCGACGCGCGTGCAAAAAGTTAAGTCCACGATATATTAGCGGCATTTTCGGCTGCTTTTCTCTCGAGATCGTTCGCTGTATTATTTGATCGATGTACAACAGTAAAGAGTGTCCGCGTATCATGTTATATCACACAAGAGAAACACTGTTGCGCTCGAAACTATAAGCCTGTGTCGTCCTTGCGTTTTCCTTTTCTTTTATTTTAGGACTATAGTTCTTCGGAGTACTTCTAAATATGTGTGTATAGAAAATGCGAGGGCTGTTCGAGAAGCGCGACATGACGGTGTCGTGGATTTTGGGTGAAGCGATCGTTTTCGGGAATTCAGCTGAAGGCACCTTGATCTTCTCGCTTAACGAGAGAAGACGAAGCGCGTTCTTGTGTAAACCTGATAATAGCATACGCAGGACACCACGGCACATCCGTGACATCGTTGACAAAAAGGATTATTTGCGCGATATTAACGTCCTTTCAATTTAATCCTCCGTGTTTTGAGCACGGAGGAGAAACAATCATTTAAATTATTTCAGTACCCCGTTCTGGGTTTTGCTGTTCGTAATCTTAAATAAAGAAATAGCTTTCATGACTTATCGGAAATAATAGCAGGTACACGCGTCAAGTCTTCGTTCTGAATCGGTATCGACATCGTGTCTAAAATTCGTAGAATTCAGGACTCGTTGGCTATCAAAAAACGGAGATCGGTACGCTCTCGCAGTGACGTTATCTCACGACAAAAGCTACTTCTCGAACACCTCTCGTGTAATAACTCGCTGTATCCAGCACAACCTGATAAGACTCACGTCTACGCTACATCGACGGCTCGGCTCGAGAAGTGGGCGATATGAAATCTTTTGTGTTACCTTGCGAGTCGAGATAAAGAGCGAAGAGAGAACAAAAGAAAAAAAACAGAGACACGTTAAATATACTCGAACTAATCTCTCATTCGAGACATCGGGGACTCACAATTTTTCATCGGAAAAGGTTCCTGTCGATCTTTCTCGTGTCACTTATTTCTTCAATTTTTGACCGCACAAGATCATCGCAAATAGCCACAGAAAGAACGCAAACAATTAAGATACAAAGGCCTGTTGATACAAAGGATGCGTCAAATAATAGTCGGTCTCAAGCCGGACATTTCAAGCCGAGCCGTCGATCTGTATTCTTGCGCGGCGCGAGTCGTCCTGCCCGAGTCGAGTAGGACTCAGGACTCGTGCGCTCCAATTCCAGTGCAATATATCTGTACGAGATCTATTATCGTTAAGTTTCCAAATACGAAGTGGACTACCGGTGTAACTTTGACGCTACGCCCCGGGGACTTTCATCCCCTCGTAAACGTTGACTAACACTTGTCTGCTTCCCTCCTCACCCTTGCCATTCTGCACGACGCAGGACGTTGCCGATCAGCCGGGGTGATCCCGATATGATGTCTCGGCTCGTATTATTCAATACTGACGAGACAACGCCGAGGTACAAGGAACGCCAGACAAGAACGTCGGAGACGACGATGCCAACAGACTGCGCCCCCGCGGCGCGCGTGTGACCGCGACTATTTACACAGTAAATACATAGATAACTCGGTGGAGTCTCTTGTTTAGCGCGTGCACGCCAGAACACGACGGCGATTAATCGGCGCGAACGGTAACGCACCCCACCGTCGGCGACGTCTCTCGCACCCCCTCAGCACTCGTGTCACACCCTGTCGCCAATCGACGTCGAACTCGACCTCGAAGCACACAACGCTATTATATATATATATATATATATATATATCGCGATATCCAATATATATATATATATATATATATATATATATATATATATATTTAGGTTCCTATTTGTTCCTAACTGTTTATTCCTATTGTTCTATCGATCATTGTTCCTCCAGATGTTCTCGGCAACTAGAGAAAGGGGACAATGTTCTCCCCTTATTTCAATCTCCCCTTGAGGGAGGAGGATCGACTCTTGAAACACTTCTTCGAAGCACCATCCGAAACGCGAACTTCCCCTCGTCGTTCTTCAATCGTTTGTTTATATCCCTTCCAGTTTTTCAAGCAACGCGCTTCTTCGAAGCGCGATCCTATAACTAGCGCATTGTCCTTGCGTTTAACATTTTTTTTTATTCGCCTATTATCGATTATTTTTCGTCGGAGACCTTGCCGTTCTCTGAGCGACGAGGCGATCCGTCGTAGTCCGACCTTCGTCGGTATCTACGATCGGGTCGACTCCCCCGACGGCCTCTTCGTTGCCCCGTCGTTTCCCACGTGAGCCTCCCTGCGACACGTTGAAACAGCTCGTGCGTGAATACACCCTCGAGGTAACACCACCTTGCTGTCTAATCGTCCTCTCGCGTTTCTTCGTGTCAGCATAGAGCTACAAGGCGACTTGTGGCTTTGATACTCCCTTTGAAACTGAACTAGCTAGGACTAGTGGCTAACTGTTCCCTCATGGTTCTACCGCGTTCAGCCTTCCTTTAACAGTCTGGAGCTACGAAGCGGCTTATTATTTAAACACCTCCTTCGGGTCGCGAGTCTAGAATCTGTCGTAGTATATTTGAACCTGTTCGCGGGTTATATTTCGTCATACTTAGTTTCCTGTCGTGTTAATACTGCTGTTGAACTGAGAGACTGTCGGTTATGAAACTGTTCCTCCGTCGCTCTCAAAAGTCGCTTTGTTCTTCTTCCTTGATAGTTCGAGGCTGCTCGAGGCGACTGGTCTCTTTCTCTAAGTGCGAACCATTTCTAATATGTTTCATTGCTATTCTAAAGCTCGCTCCAGCTTGCTTCTCGGAGCCCTCGAATTCTACGAGTTGATTTATTTATGACTTTGATGTTCTTCTAAGATAAAACTCCATTAATCGTCAGATAATTGTTTCTTCGTCGTGTTTCTCTCTTTGATCGCTCGTTATTAAGACTATCGATCAATCCTCGTATCCCCCCATCATTCGTTTCTTCATTGCCCCTACAAAGGATCTGAAGGCACGAGACGATGTGTCATCTTGATACTCCCTTGGAACACAGCACTAGAAATAGTCGGCTAACGATAACATTCCCTATCGTTCTATCTACTCCTCGTCGTGTACACGCGATCGCGCGTATCGCCAACGAGAACAACGAAGATTTCGTTTCGCGGTGCCTCGAGCATCGTCTTCGCCTCGAGGAGGCACACATCTCCTCTTCACGCGTTCGCACGCAGACGAACGGTCGTTCTGCGCGCATTGTTCGCGGACTCACTGATCGACACGTGACAACAACGATGACAATAACGACGTATTGCTATCACCACGAATCATCATTCCACAGAATTGCCCTCGTCGTAGTGCGAGAACTTGAGGAACACTTGCTCCAGGGTAGTTTGACTAAAGCTATACTCCTCTATGTCCAGCTCGAGCTTGGCTGCAAGCAGACGCATCGAGTATTAGTGGAGAAGTTCGTCTTGCACGCGCGGCTCGCGATGAGGCCGAAGTTTCTAAGTGAAGTTTCACTCGCTTCCAGTCCTCTCTTTCGTCTTTCACATCTCGTCGAATGCCGCGACCGAAGAATTTGCAATCTACGTGAGGGGGAGAGAGAACCTCCTATCTACTCGAACTACTTCAAGTTTCAAACGTGCTCGAATACTTCACGCTAATTACAGTTAGTTCGCAAGTTTGTAGTTTGCAATTAGAACTGAATGACCTTTGAGATTCGAGATTCTAGGATCAAGACTAGCCTTGATTGAAGACGACGAGAACGCCCGAAAGGCAATGTAGTAAAACCTACAAAACAATTTTCATGTTCCGCGGAATAAAACTTCGAACTCATCGTCGAACGCGTCGTGAAGGGATCACAATGAAATCATTTGACTCCTTACCTTTCTCCAACTGCGTGAAGCACTCGGCCAGCGAGTTCACGGCGTTTTGGGGCACGGCAAAGACGAGCCTGTCAGCGAAGCTCTCCTCCAGTGTGGCGTCGGGAAAGAGACCAGCGACGAATTCTTTGAGGCTGGCAACCCTGTCGCCGGAGGGAGTTGTCGGCGTGCAATCACCACCCAAAAGCTTCATCTCGAGGGTGTAGCCGGCCCCATAAAGGTTCTTCAGGTGCTGGGTCGAGCCGATGCACCTTAGTTCACCCTTTACCATGATGCCGACCCTCGAACACAAGGCATCGGCCTCCTCCATGGAATGCGTGGTCAATATGGCTCCTCTACCACCCTGTTGGGAGACATGAAGCGGACAGTCGGATGTATTAGAACTTTTATATATTTAAGAGAAGCCGTTGACAAATTATTCTTATTCTCTCTATCATGAATCTTGAATCATTTCATTTGCTATTATATCTGTAACTGTACTTGTAATAATGTTTTCTTCTCGATTGCGTGTTTGCAATATTCTTAAGAACGTTGCATAGAAAAAGCACCGAGTAACCTTAGGAAATAGTTTAAATTCGTAGCGCATTACGACGCGACGCACCGACCTGGAAACTAGCGAGGATCGTGTCCCACAGGAATCTCTTCGACTTGGGATCCATGCCTGTGCTTGGCTCGTCCATGAGGACCACTTTGGGCCCACCGATCATCGCCAACGCGAAGCTGAGTTTTCTTTTAGTTCCGCCGGAGCACTCCTGGGTTTGCTTGTCGGCGTGCTCCTGAATTTGCAGACCGGACAGATAGAGATCCACGATTCTGCAATAATCAATGAAGAAAATCAGCGCTTCTCCAACGGAAATTGCCGCGCAATCTAGCGTATTTGAACTATTCGTTGATAGAATATCAAATATCAAATAGAATATCAAGAAAACGAAACAAAATAGAACCTGTCGATGTCGCCCCAGGGAACACCGCGTATCGCGGCGTAACACTCCAGATGCTCCCGCACAGTGATATTCTTCCAGTGGGCGTCGTGCTGGGGACAATAGCCCAACTGCTTGAAGGCGTCCGTCATGTGAATGTTAATATTTTGACCGCCAATTTGCACTCTACCCCTCGTCGCTGACTCCTCCGCGATGATGATTCTTATGGTGGTGGTCTTGCCGGCGCCGTTATGGCCCAGAAGGCCGAACACTTCGCCGGGCTCCACAGCCAGCGAGATATTCCGCACGGCGACCTTCCGCTGCGTGGTCTGTTCTTCGTGTTTCGAGCAACAGCTGCATAATGAGCTTGCTTCTTGATGCCGGTACTCCTTCCTCAGATTCTGTGTTCGTAAATGCGTTCCGCAGCGTGAGATATAAGATAAGATTACAGTGACAGAGTCACAATAGAGAAAAATCGCATCAGAGTCGTAACGAAGGTGCAACAAACGGTTGCCTCGAAACGATAACTCACCTGTACCAAAACCACGGGCGGCTCCTGAACAGCCGACGAGCTGACGAGATTGAAAACCCTCTGCCGCTCGGTTTTCACGTCCGCGTCTTCGTGCTCGCCAACATCCGAATTCTCTATGATCTCTTCGCTGATGGATCTGCCTTTCCTCTGTAGGAAGAAAACCAATGCATCGTATTCCATATATACTTACATCTCGCAAACGAAACAAGTACACGATACGAGCGTGAAGTACAACAGCATTTGGCGAGATTGGAATTCGGCGCTCACCAGGTAATACTTGAAGTACTCGCTGATTTTGCCGCCGTTCTTCTTGATATCCAGCAGAACCAGCACAAAGAACCACATTGGGCAGTGCAGCAGCACCGCGATGACCATCACTATGATCTCCGTGGTGAGGTAATCGGACATGGTGAGGTGATGGCAAGCGGCGTTGATCGAGCACATGAGGTAAACGCGGTCTACGTAGTACACCGCGGCGTACGGTACGTACATGCTGTTCAATAGGCAGAAGATCACGTGCAATGTGAGCGCCGCTGTCCCACCTTGAGGAAAAAAGCGTAACATCTCGTTAAGAGGAATGTGTCATGGTGATAAATTAAAATGTCTGCTTTCATCAGTGTCTCGGAAGCAACGGACTTGACCGCCGACGACAAGCCGATGGCATATTACTCACCGAGTTCCAGCATGTCGATGATCATGACCATGATGAACGGTACCAGCCCGAAGAAAGTGGCGATGTTCGGCAAGATGCTCTGCGCGGAGTCCATCTTATCGAACATGTAGCTGAGACAGGTCGCAAAGAGGATGGCCGACGGGCAGTACAGCATGAGGAGGGTGCTGAGGGCGATGAGCGCTGGTGACTCTTGAAGCGAAGGCACGTCGAACATGAAGATAATGCCGAGGATACACATGCAGATGAAGGTCATCAGGCCGACCAGCACGATGAAGTAGCTCAGAAGGTACATGGGAAACGACAGGCCGTTCACACGAAGTTGGTTCTTCGCCTTGCACTGCAGAACGTCCGAAGAGAATTGTCGTCGTTACGTTGCATCGTGAGAAGATATAACACAATAGTATTATATATTATAATTAAAATAGTCTTACCTCGCGATCGTACACCATGTCCACTGCCAAAGTAATCGGCACTAACACGAAGTCCATACCGATGAAGAGAGCGGTACTGGCCATGCCGATGTTGAACCCTTGCGGTTGCGATGTTTGTTGGAAGGGATGCGTTTTCACTTCGATCGGCATAGGTTCGCTTTTGTCCGAGATCAATCTGAAAAAATTGAATTTCTTCCAGTATTGATGGTATTGCTGATATAGCGAGGGTGAATCTGAATTTGAAAAATAATATTAATACAAGAAAAGAGAACACACTCTTTCTCTCTTTCTCGTTTAATTATATGAAATATTTCGAGCATCTTGAATGCTCTTCATTATAGATTCAGAGATCCTAGACTCACCTATGATAAGCGTTCGAAAGAATGTTCACTAAGATTGGCAGGGAATGTTGCATCGTGTCATTGTAGACTACAGTCAAATTCATTCGCGGTGGACTATAGCTGTTAATGTTGAATGCAGCTATGTGTGGTGCGATATTCAGTAAATTTGCGAAATCGCCGTCGTATTCTTCAATGTACTTCGCGTCTTGAGTTATGCTGTCCATTAAGTCGGTAATGTCGCGATCGGTATTATTCATGTAGAGAATCTTAGTCTCGTCACCGTATGTATCTGTAAAGAGGAAAGCAATATCGCGTGATCCATCGCAAGTGTGACGAGTCTTGCTGAGTTTCGTATTAAATAACTGCATAATAGAGATCTAATTATTGATCTAAAATTCAAGTTTTAATCATCTTTCACGCGACGTCGTCCGTAAACTCGCGTGTACATTCAATTACAAGAAATAACTTTCAAGTTACAGATTCTAATCTAAATACACATAATCCTATATTTTCGTAAAAGTACACTTATTATAGAAAAAAACCTTTCGATTAAAATTTGGGATTAATTAATTTTAGACAGTCAATTTTCATAGAAAATTAATTTAAACACGTGCCGTGCTCTAGCCTCGGAGGTGAACTAGGTACAGATAAAAAAAAGAGCCACGCAATTACCTCCTACCTTGCATAAGTTGCAACCACTTACGGCTATTAAGTTTTAACGATCGCATCTTGATGTCGATCGTTTGGATGCTGTGCAAGTAGAGGCCGAGCACTATCAGAGCGAGCGGCGCGACGATCGTGAAATAGAGCAGCTGTATATTCCTGAAGAGTCTGAGCACCCGTAGGCGTAGCATGGCGTAGAAAGTCTGCATGAAGTTAGGCCGGACCTTGATGGGGTCTAAGCCGAGGCCGAGGACGGGCGGATTTCTGTCATTATGAACGCCGTCCGGTAGATCGCTCGTACCTAATTAATTCAGTGGTATTATAATACCAACGCATCTCCGATGATTAGTAGTTAAACTACAATTTGCAACATTATTATGTAAATATATCAATTAATCAAACTACTTAATATCTCTAGCAATAAATATTAATATTATACATATATAATATATTAATAATAGAATATATACACATAATAATCAGATATAATATTAATAATAGATATATCTAGAAAAAAAATATATATCTTAATATTGAATAATAATCAGACGATAATGAAGTTGTCCGTTAAATCATATCGATGCCACGAGCTGATTTACTCGACCTAAATTACAAAAACTCGAGGATTCTTCTCTAACGAATGAAGAAAGAATGTAGAGGAAAGAATGAGAAGCTACCTTTCGCTTGATTGTCGCCTTGGACAGTCACTCCCTCGTTTTGCAAGCTCTGGTATGACGTACTCTTGGACTGTAACGAGAGCGATCTGCTGAGTGCGCGATTGCGCACCATCTTCTTCGACAGATTATCCATCGTGCACTCGGTTTCCTCGTCCTTCTCCAGGTGCAGGAACACTTCTTCCAAGGTGGTCATCGACACACCGTAGCTGTTGATGCCGAGTCTGCTCGATCTGGTCTTGATCTCATGCTCAATGGCGGAGAACAGAGGCGCGAAGCTATCCACGCAATTGTGAGGTAGGATGAAACTCAATTCGCGACCATGACGTCTCGCCTTTTCCGCTTTCGTCACGTGCGACATCACTAAGCGGGTGATGGCGTGTTCCCTGGCGTTGCCTTCCAACACCAACCTACAATCGCGATCGTTGGAATATTTTTAACAAGGAATGTAATCACTCGATTCCCTCGACAGTGTCGCGCGGATTAAGAAGATATTCCATATTTCCTGTTTTTTCCACTTTCTAATTTCCTATTTCTATATTTCATTTTCCGATATTTAATGTTAATATTTTCTCCTTTTTCCTGATATTTAACGTCACAAATGTTTAATGTTACAGATTAAATCCCGGTCGACGTGATATCGACGGTTGACTTACGTCAAGTGGTATCCAATGCCGAACTTGTTCTTCAGGAACAATGAGCTACCGCAACACCTGAGCTTCCCTTTGCTAATCACCGCCTTTCGGTCAGCAAGTATGTCCGCTTCGTCCATGAAGTGTGTCGTCAACAATATCACTTTTCCGTGTCTTCTCGATTGTAGTAAGGACCACATTTGCCTTCTGGAATACGGATCCACTCCGGCGGTGGGTTCGTCGAGGATGACGATCTTGGGATCTCCGATTATCGCTATTCCTACGGACAGCTTCCTCTTTTGACCACCACTAAGATATTTCGCGAAAGCATCCGCTTGCTCGATCAAGTCGATGTCCTTTAAGGTTTTCTTCACCTGCGAATCCAAACGCGTACTCCATCATAAAGCCAGGTAGGTAAGTACTATTCTTCGTATAAGAGACACTTATACGACTGTCTCGAGTTACTAGGTCAGTCAGAAAGATTATTTTGGTATTTTCGAGTTGAATTTGATTTTTGGATTCAATAAGGAAAAAGTATTCCCTACCAAGTAATCATCATCAATGTTCATGAACGATATTCATAGTCAGATCAGATTTAAGATCGTCTTAAGCTCATCAAGATGAAATTAGAACGATTATGGGTGACATTCATATAGTCAGATCTTATATTTAAGGTCATTTTAATTTTATAAAGCACATATTTAACAGAATATTTACTTAAGATATCTTAATTTTTTTTTCGTCTTGAGTTCATCGAGATAAAATTAAAACGATCAATGTAAGATCAAATTGTCCTAAAATCTTTCGCTGACATCTCGGCAGCATTTGCACTTCTCTATCGTAGGAGATTGTCGACTTATCATCGATGAAGACAGAAGATTAGATCGAACATTTCCACCGACCCAATATCCCGACAATCGAAACCGCGAGTCTTGTTTTTCGCGCATACCTCGTGCTGTATCATCGAGCGCGGTATACCGCGTACCGCGGCGAAGAACTCAAGGTGCTCGCGCGGCGTCAGCAGGTCGAAGAGGATGTCGTGCTGCGGGCATACGCCGGTCATGCTGCGGATCGCCCGCATGTCGTTGCTGTCACGCACGTCGTAGCCGAAGATCAGAGCGGTGCCAGCGGTGGGCGCGGTGAGGCCCGTGAGGATGTTGAAGAGAGTGGACTTGCCGGCGCCGTTGTGGCCGAGTATAGCGGTGATCTGACCTTCGTAGATGGTCAGATTGATGCCGTTCACCGCCTTGGTCTCCGAGCGCCGGCACTTGTGATATGACTTGTACAGATCGGCTATCCTGATCGCCTCGCGACCCTTCATCTCGCGCACCACCGGCTCTATGTCGCGGTTCGCCTCCTCGCCGGGGATGAAGGAGTTCGACTCGCCATTCGACGACGGTACCTGTAAGTCAATCTCGCGATTTAGGGCTGGTTGTTCCAACTTCCTGGTAAGTTAACTAATAGTTAAATCGTATGTCTTTGTTTTTCCTCCAACTTAGATACATGATTTAACTATCGGTTAATTTACCAAAAAGTTGGAACAACTGGTTTTTAGGTCGGTTTCACCAACTTCGGTTAAGCTAACCGAGAGTTAAAAGTAGCAGAGTAGCCAACTTAAATGCGACGTGCCATAAACAGTGTCATACTGAACCTCAATGAACAATTTATATTCAATCTCGATATTGGCACTTCTGGTAGTTAGAATTTAATCGTCAGTTGGTTTAACCGGAGTTGGTGAAACCGGCCCTTAGGCCCAGTTCCATAACCTCTAGTTAACTTAATTAGTTGGTTATTCCATTGGACTTGACTTCCAATCGCATTTGATATTAAGAAGAGTTAATCAGAATTAACCAATCACTATTGGGACTTAACTGGTAGTTAAAATTAAACGGATGTTGTGGAACTTGGCCTTAATGGTACACCAGAGTTTTGGGGATTTTAAAGAGCAAGTTGTCGTGACGATTTTATTTAACGTGGTATAATATTCGCGCGGTGAATCTTAAAAGCACCATTTAAAAGCATCACTTGTACGTACCCTTTGGACTTTCCTTGGACACCAAAATCCGGGTAGGAAGCAGAACCAAGGTGGTTTTTTCGTGCCATATTCACCTAGGGATTAAGGAGTACGTTGGGTGTTATTCGGTATATTTTGATGGGTGGATGCATATTTTTGAATAGTACATAGAATTATTTAGACGAGAAAAATATATATTGACTTCGAGTGTAGCGTACGAAAATACGCGAGAACGTACTCGGTATCACGGAATCGAGATAGTAGGCCAGCCAGCCGTACAAGAATATGTCCAGAGTCATCATGATGAGACTGCCACCGAAAGGTATCCCAGGCCCGGACCATAGGTTGTCGAAATTCACTCCCTGGCCCTGAAGATCCAGCACGAGAGCCTGCAGCGATACAGAGCAGCGTGAAGCTTTGAAATACGTGATACGCGTATCAAGTATCCGCGCGATCGTATTTCCGATATGTGTGCGAACGATCGTGCTGATATTTTCGCCGTCAAAGCACTCGTAATAGTTGAGGAAAACTCTCGCAACCGGCGAATAAACCATTCAATTATCTCGTCGATGTTCCCGTTAGAGGGAATGCTCGACGGGATACATTATCAATGCCAAGATTTACCTTGTCTATCGCCAGAGCGACTCCAGTCGGGCTGAGTAGAGAGACCAGCCAGAACGAGATCGAGCAGGAGTCGTCCACGAATACTTGGATGAAGTACATCAAGCTCAGAATCGTGACGGCGAAGTTACCCAAAACACCGGCCGTCTACGACAGAGAGGAAGACACTTGCATCACCATATATAATGTCAATCTCTCAGTTAATCGACTTGTGTTAAACTTTAAATTAATATTTAATCACCTGAATGTCGTCTTACTTGAGTGCTAATTTAATTTTCTCATTACATAGAGTTTTCGCATATTAGAACAGAAATTACATCTGGCAAAACATACGAACGTCATGAATATTTTCGCGGAATCGTGAAATTTTGTTTTTCATAAAATATTTGCTCATATTTAATTTTTGCTCATATTTGTAAAAGAAATCTCTTCGAGCAGATGCTTCTGCATTTAATTGAGAATTCAATCAAAGTGTCTTAATTCGGCGCGTCCTCGATTTTTCACGACGGGCGAAAGCAGCGGCGTATCGACGTCTGTCAGTTAAGTGTTAATTTGAAGATTCTTATTCGGGACATAAAGGGACTCGAAGTGAAAAGTTACGTCGCGTCAAGCATTACTCACGCGCGACTTGTCGAAAAACGGCGTGATCATGAAGGCGAACATGATCACGGAGAAGCTGTATAGCACCACCAGAAGAAATATCGGCAGGAAATGCGTGTGTTGAAACATCTGTAGAGTGAACAGCAGTATTACCCCGACAGCGGAAAGTAGGAGGACGAAGACGCCGTAGACAATGAACCACGACAACCTGCAAGAACGAAATAGAGGAAGCGCGAGCGCGTCATTATCGGTCGTCGAAATCAAATCGGACAAGTTGGTAAGTTCAATTAGATCAGATTCGGCTGGCTCGCGAGAAATTTCGCGATGTCTTACCAAAATACAGAATCGTTTAGGCCCATGATCTTCATCCCTTCCTTGATCCTTTTTTCCTTCTCGCCGACTATCAAAATCAGGAGATACGTGATGAATTGCGAGAGCGCCAAGACTGTGTAGAGCGGGATGACTACCCTGAAGGCTACCATCCAATCTGAGATGGAAGTACGTATCGTTAACAATGCCGGAGACCCCCCGGGAATGTTATTACGCGTAGGTCGTAATCACACGGACAGACGATCTTTAGACGCGACTGCTTACCCGCGGTAAATGCATCCTTCGGAAATATCTGGAGCTTGATGTCCGGTACGGTCAGATCGGGATTTCCCGTGTCCAACTGTGCAAAAAGTGTCATCAGAAAACCAGTCGTTCTCAGAACATTGTTTCCTAGTCTGCACGATCGGACTTATGCCAGCACGACAAATCAAGTATCGCGAAAGCTATAGCGATCGGATAAAATCCGGAAAGCGAACTCACTCTTATTTTTGTGACGTCTATTAACATTTGTAGGAACAAGAAGCCGGAATACAAGTAATCGTTGACGGGACAGGATCCGCCGATCTTCATCGACAACATGTCGCCTAACCAATGAGTGGTATCCCTTCGACAGGTAACTGGAGTGGAATACAGTTCGGTCGGCGAAGGTGGCGAGAGGTACGAAGGATTCGTCCTAATTTCATACCTAAGTGACGCGAAAGATTGCGAATTTTAGCGATCATCAAATAAGAACGCAACTCACCGGTCTTCTCGATTCTCGTTAGTTTTTGATTAATTTTTTATTCATCCAGAGTAATACGTGACACGCTTCTAAGGATTATCTTCTCGATATGTCTGTCTATCTAACGAGGTAAAATCTTCAATATTTTTGTCTCGTGCGGCTAATCGATAAGTTTGGAAAAGAGTAATATGCAGAGATAGAAGTGTCCTCTGTTATAAGAAAATGTTTTTTCTCGCGATATCGCGTATCCCTCCTCCGTGAAAGATCGTGTCGCTTTAAAATTTACGGTTTACGATATAAAAGTAGTCTTACATGAGACGCTGTGTTATCGGCTGGGAATCTTCGAAGATAACTGCTATGGGTACGCTGTAAGGATCTTTCCAGTATGCCGCCTGCAGATCGTCCTGCGTGTCGAACACGATGAAGTTTAAGGGAAACTTACCGGGATAATCCCACATAGAGAGCCAGAGGGTGTTCATGGAGCTTAAGAAGCTCTGGAAAATATATTGTTAACATTATATCGTGAGTTGGATCTCGCAATTTCTGGCGGAACAGTCTCGAAGAAGCAGCGAGACGACGGGATGTAATATCATCAAAGATACGCGTGATAAAAGCGAAAGAAGCAATTTTTAACAAGCCAATTGATCCGTTTCTCTTTTTTTTCAGAGAAATTGTTGTCACGATAAAATTAGAATTTAACATTCTACAACGAAACGTAAGAATTCCCCCGAGAGAATTTTATCTCTGAAAGAGCCTCTCACCTCATCTCGAAACTCAGGAAAAAGGAGAAAGAATAAGGGAGGAAGAGAAAAAAGAATTTTGTTTAAACAAGCGAATAAATTTTTCGAGATTCGGCGGAAAATTCGCACGAAAATGTTAAAAACCCGAGATATTTTTCTGCGAGCGCGTGTATCTCGTGAACTTCTCGGCGATTCGGCGCGCTGAGCAGGCGGTGCTCTCGAAAGGTCGATACTTACGAGGGTCTCCGTAGAATTGGGCACCACGGCGATAGTGATGTTCGTGTAGCCGTTGTGTATTTCAAATATCTCCGTTTCGCGCTGCTGCGTCGTCATCGCGGGATAGTTCGGGTTCGGAATCAGGATCTTCACCACGATCAAGATCCCGAGGGTGTAGAGGGGCAGGAAGATCTCCTGTGGGCAATCGAGCGGTGCTGATCTCTCGGATCAATGTTACGCGGCAAGTGTCTCGTACAATCGTTAACAGCTGATCCCTGGGTCACGATTCCATTCGTAGTAATAACGGCTCTCGAGCGAAAGCCATCAGGCGCATTCAAAGAGCGAGACGGTTTGCCGAGCTGCTCTCTCGACAGAACGACAAAGGTCGGTGAATTAATTATACATTAAGCCGTGCCACACATAAATTCGTATTCTCGAGCATTAATCTACGACAGGAACGAGCGCGTCGTGGAGAGAACGCGCCGGGGAAGCCTAAAGCGAGCGTTTTATTTTGCAGCGAACTTGCTCGTTACTTGGCGAATACGGCCGTACCATAATTACACGGTCTATCCCGGATGAATAAAAGAACCCCCTGTGTTTTTTGCAGTTAATATCCATAGTATGCGAGGGATAGGGTGGCGCCTTCCTCGACTACGTTTCCCGCGCCCTTAAAAACACAACGCAACGTGAATTCAGCACGGCAAGAAATTTGCCCGCTCCCATCGTGTATGCGTGTCCCATAATTATCCCTGGTGGTGTGCACCTGCCGTCTTCCGTTTCACCGTTCGCAACGCGCCATCAAAACAATATTCCGAACTGTAAAGACTGCGCGAATCTTTTACACACGGCGGAAAATGCGCCGTCATGAATTCTCGGATCGATTGTCATTCCGCCCATGATTTACGATTGAAATGTATAGTTGGTAATAGTTACACAAGAAGTATTCAACCCACAAAATTATGATTCTCGAGTTTTTGTGTTATCAATGAGTAATTCACGCGTCTATCTATCTTAAAACGAAAAATATTCAAGTCTTATGGACGCCTAAAATTAATTAAAAAACAGAGTTTATTTTTTTCTATTAGTTGCGACCTTTTTATCCAATTTTTAAGCTTGTAAATAAATATTCTTAAAGAAAAGAGAATTGACTATGCATGACTTTGTGAACGATTGCGGAGAGAACCTCAGTGCTATCTATACTTTTTAAATCATGCATTAAATTTTCATCATTTTCTTTGAAACGTGCTTCATATAGGTTAGATCATTCTAATTACGGCCGTGATCATGGAAATTATAAGGGGGATTCTCTGTGTATAAGTCGCTGAAGAATATTAGTGGCTTCGAAACTCCGTCGTCATGGCGATCAACAAGGAAACGGCACACACTCTTTGCAGTGATTGCCGGAACGTCGGAAGGCAGAAGCTCGCGGGAACTTTCTCGATATCGAGACACGGGCTTGTCGTGCAAAGATTCGCGTTATTTTCGTGCTTGTCGTACAATAAGATGCGACGAATTATATAGTTTGACAGCTACAAATCGCGAACGAACGTAAAAGGCCTTGCTATCTCGTCTTAAGGAGGAATGATCGCAAGTAAAACAGAATAAGCATACATGGTAATTGTTTCCATATGTAGCTTATCACTCGCTCTTGCTTGTCACGGTTCATTACGTTTGAATTCATACCCGATGCAGTGCGAAAATATCGCGTAGTGAAGAGAAAGATTGTGAGAAGCCGAATACGCGAAGAGGTGAAACTTATTCCAACACTCGGTATATCATTGTGTGATATTGATTATAAATTAAAGAATTCATTTATTCTATTAAAAAAAATAATTTTCCTCTCTATGTTCTTTCGAAGATCTTTGAGGGAAAATAGACTGAAAAACTGTAAATTCTCTTGCAGATATAAATGCTCAAAGAAGAAACTGAAAAATAGGAATTGGCTGCAATGGACGCTGATGGTATACCGAAGGTTAACGAGATTCGAAGAGTAAATTCTCAAGTCGCGTGTAATGATCCGAAAAAAGCATGTATATAAAGAGCAGTAAAAGAAAAGAAGCATAAAATAGCAAGTCGGAGATAGAAATATTGAAATTAATAATCTTTATTTCATACGCGAAGTGAAACTTCTTGTTGCGAAAGTTGGGGATTATTTTAAATATAGTTTGGCTTTCGCGGAAGGTGTCGGACGGCAAAGAGTTCGAGGCGATGTCGTTCTTTGTGGACATCGTCACCGAGGACTCGTTCTATGAGAACCTGACCCTGGGCGTGGTGAAGATCCTCGAGAACTCGCCGTGCGTGAAAAATGTGCGGGTCGAGAGGCGAAATGGCTGCGAGCCCGGAACCATCACTAGCTGGGAGCAACGTCATTGTTGCACGCTCCCCGAGAACATTCGGAGTTTCTACGCGTCCGTCGACGGTTTCCTGCTGTTGTGGAATCTCGACATAGCGGGTGATTTCTGTGACCTTACTTCATCAGACACTTTTATCCAAGCATCTGATATTCGTCTCCCAAGCGATGGAGATAGATATCAGATATGTATATATTTTTCCCACAACTCTTTTCACAACAGCTTCACTCTCCAGGTGAAGAATTTCCGATCGGCCGCATGGAGATCGGCAGTCTATCATCCCTAAAGAGGTACGTCGGCAGAGATAGACAGATGGGACCGTCGACACAGGACTCGTCATCGGGAGCTCAAGTGGAGGACCCCACAACGGAACAGGAAGGCGGCAGCACAGATGTCCTGTTTTCCGGGGACTCACGCGAGTGCAAGCTCTTCGAGATCGGCCAATGCTACCCGGGAACCGGCAACGGTAAGGTCTACCTCACGTATCGTTCCAAGCAGGAGCAAGATTCACCGAGTATCTGGCTCCATCGTGGCAGCAGCTGGTATCAATTAGCCGACGACTTCACCACCTACTTCCGCATGATGCTGGCTCACTTGGGCCTGCCGTTGTGGCAGTGTTGCGTCGTCGGCCTGCCGTTGCCTACCTGGGTCGAGCAGGCGTACTTTCTGGTGGGACCTCACTTGCTACCGTCTACTGTCGAGCCCAGCGAGACCGTGTCCACGTCGTTATGGAATAACGGACCCATCAACATCTTGGATCCGGCTATCTTCAAGACCAAGGACGGCAAGCAGAGGAACGCTCGCAAGAAGTGAACTTGTGGATGATTTCTTGATTACTCGAGATGCATTTATACTTGAACCTTGTTCGCATGTACGAAGAAACACGTGAATCGAGTACTGTATGAAAGTACCCGATCACTGGGCTGAATGTGTATGCATATTTACGATAGTACAGATAACGCGAATGCACTATGAGTAGTTGGTAACAATAGACGGAAAACATTTGATTGGATTAACCAAATATCTAGTGAAATATAAGCAAACTAGAATTCCGGTTGAAATTCTGTTCAAGGTAACAAGATTTTGATGAAGTAAACAAGATTTCTGATTAACCAGAACCTGCAACTGTTCAAACTGTTGAAACAATTCTGAAGTTCTAATTAACCAAAAATTTTGTTTGGTTTACCAAAAATTTCATTTGGTTTACCAAAAATTTCGTTAATTTGAACAGAATTTTGATGACTTTAAACGGAATATTGGTTCGTTCATATTTCACTAGATATTTGGTTAATCCAAATTTTTTTTTCGTACACGATGACACAGTGTCTTAGAAACTAGTGAAACCATAAATATCAGGATCTTATAGATTTCCAGATTCACCAGACTTAGAACTTATCGCGGTATTCATATCTCATATTCGCTCGTAGGAACGGATGAGATATGAATACCGCGTGTCCTAGATTCGAGAAATCGCGAATCAGAGTTCATGTTAAATTGAGAATTAAAATAAGTAATGTACTTATATTTTTTCCAGATTTCTGGATATTTACTTCGGATTTGTGAACGATGTAGAATTGAGAAAGATATGTCTCAGATTTCTCGATCCGCAAATACATTAATGTTGAAACTGTGAGAAGACTATTGATTATTTCAGAATAGAAGTCGGAATATAAAATAAGTTAGAAGAAATTGAATTTTCGACAAACAAAGTCTCGAGGATCCGAATGAGTTCACATATATACGCGAACTTTTCTACCCGAAAGCGAATATCTTCGCTCCATCCTGGAAGAGTTGTACACGAAGAGAAGAAGAAGAAAAAAAGAAACAGCTGCTCGGGACAAGATTATACTTTTTAATTATCAGGCTACCGATTGATACCCGCTACAACGCGATCAATCGCAGCTAGCTCTAAGTATGTGCGGGCAGGGAAAAGAAGCGAGCAAATAATTCGACGAGATAGAAAAGAAAGAGTGCCTCCCCTTCCTCGCCGCCAACCCTTGGCCTATTTGGCACGGCGAAAATGCAAAAACATCCAATTGGCAGCGTTGTTGGCGAACGCAGTCCGCGACGGGACCCAGTCACTCCGTCGACACTCTAGCAAACGTCCGCGCGTTTGCGTCTTCTTTTTCGTCGTTTTGCTTTTATACGTCTCTCGTAGTTCATACATGAATGCGCTCGCGAGATTCTGCCGCGGCATTCTGCAACGGATTTACCCCTTTCGTTCCAGCCGAGGATTAGTCCGGGCAAATCTCATTACGGAGTTACTCTCGTTATCTTGCCAGGGTGTGACGAGGATGTCGCTTTCGGGGACTCCTCCGTCGTCTGGCGATACGGGTGACGAGCCGAAGAGCGGCCCGAGGAGAAGAAAACCTTCGGGAACGATTTTGGCAACAGTACTTCGGCACACCACCCCGGCTATACGCATAACGCGCGCATCCACTTGGCACGCGCCACCGGCGTGTTCCGCGAGACAGGTGCCGATTCTTCACGTTACATCCGCGGGAGTTGTTACGCGAGTGAAATTCCCGCGAAAAAAGTAGCGAGCGCGTCGCGCCCTGTAATCTCCACTAGTGTTGTCAATTTCGACTACCCGGAGGGTATTCCGAGTCTTTCGGGTATTATTCAAATATATTAACTTGAAGATCTCGGGCCAAGAGAAGGCAGCATGAGTAACTCGCGGCTAAAGTTAATTTAACGAACACATGAAATAATTTGATATTCCCAAGTTATTGGTTTTCTTAACAATTAGTCTGTTCTTTGTAGCTGCACTGCCGGTGCAATAAGTTGGAGTGAGACAAAATATACTCGTCTCACTCTAACTTTTTCATCAATTCAGCAGTGCAACTACAAAAAACAGACCAAATAACAAGCAACGAATGATATCTTAATATCCGCGAATGGACGCTCAAGTAGTACCTGAATATAGAAATATACCCAAGTTATAGTACCCGGATATAGAAATGTATCCAAGTTATAGTGACAGCACTAATCTCCACCGCGAGTTCGCCGACTCGGCGAAATAATCGGTTTGGCAGGCGTGCGCGCGCGCGCGCGCGCGAGGAAAAACACCGAGCGCCAATTATTACTGCGACGGATGATTCTTTAATTACATCGCGAGGACCGCGTAACGAAGCCCGAGACACGTGCGGAACGTATCGAAGGTTGTGAGCGGCATATCATACCGTCATCGTCTTCCGCTTCTCGCGTTTCTTCAGCAGGAGATTCCTCACGAGCATCGCCCGCAGCTGGGACAAGTAGACCGCGCACGAATTCATCCTGCGAGATGCATTCGCCCACTCGTCCTCTGCAACAGAAACGTCAACGGCAACCTGAATCGCCGCGAATTGTCGGCGCTCCGCGACAACGAGCTGAGTGAGAGCCTCGAATTTTGCGACGCGATCACGTCTGGATCACACGTGCGGCACGACCGAGGTCGTTTTCGACGGCTTCGAGAACAGTTCAAGGCTCAGAGCGGATATAGAGCGGACTTGGAAACGGAGATTTTTATTATACAAGTCGCTTTTAAACGAATCATAGGATGATATTCGTAGTTAGATCTTATATTTACGATCGTCTTGAGTTCACCCTCAAACGCTGTACGGATCATTTTATTGGCTCCGCAGCATTTGAAGATAAACTTAAGACGATATCAAATATAAGATCAGACTATGGCTGGTATTCATAGTCGGTTCTTATAGTTAAGATCGTCTTAAGTTTATCTTCAGATGCTGTAAGGTTCATTTCACTTTATGGAGTATCTGAAGATAAACTTAAGACGATCTTAAATATAATATCTGACTACGAATACCGGTCTATGAATTCCAATTGTAGTCTTTCCGTTGCGTCATCGTGCGGCAAAATTCAAAGCTCAAGTATGGTCTTTTATGCTTAACTAATTATTCCATACACACAATACAATGTATCAAGTCAATGCAAAAGACTTGCAATTTCCTCATTTTTTAGATGTCTCAAAGGATGTCGAGTCGATGTTTATTTTTATGCGTGAAAATACGTTTCGTTTTCTATTTTATTCGACAAATAGGACGTACCTTTTGCAGCCTGATCAGTTCTACAAGTTTCGACGGGTGAAAGAGAAACAAATCGTGACAGATTCGTTCGGGTAAGCTATCTTTATCCGCGCCAATCGTTAATCGCCGCGAGAATGATCGATGGCTGGACGCGAAGAAAACAGCGAGACGTCTAATTTAATCTATCATTTATGACGAGATATGTAGTGTAACTTGCCGTTTAATCACCGCATCCGTGATGGAACAGCGGAATACACGCTCCTTCTAGCTCTCATGGGTGAAACGATGTGAAGGAAGAGAAGATGAAGAAGGAGAAGAAGGTGGAGGAGAAGAAGAAGGAGAAGCAGAAACCAAACGAGATGCAGGCGTCCGACTGCAACGCGACGGCCGCTCGCGTTCTTCCCGATTAATTAACTTAATTTGTTTGCACAATTGTGCGACGTATCTGTCCTTGTCCCCTTCTCCTCCTTTACACCTTCTCCTCCATCTCGTCACTGCCACCCACTCTCTCGTCGACTCTACGGTAAACTCTCTCGCGCGCACAGTAACAATATAGCCGCCGTCGTCGTCAATCGTTCGACGTGTGCATTAATTAATTGCTCGTGAAGTACTGCGAAGTTTGGAGAGCAAATCGAAGTATCGCTGGTGAGTGTCGTTGTCGCTTGACTCGTGCAAAAAAAAATAAATTCAATTGCAGCTACACGTGCGCTATAAGAGATGTGTATGTACAGTCAGCGGATGTAAGGTTGCAGTATTTTTTTCTCGATAAATTCAAAACGCATCCGGCATTCAATGGGAGAGATTATAACTGTTTGTAGTGTGTGTTTTTAAAAGATAAATTCTTAACACAGATGATAAAGTCTTTCCTTAATTGAGTGCTAAATGCGTTCTGGAATTTATAGAGACGAAACTGTCGCACCATTTCTTCCGCTGATTGCGCATCCCCTTCATTCTTGAAATCTCCAAACTGCCGAGCATCTCGGAGGAATATCCTCAAAAATGATTGTTATTATTATTACTATTATATTAAAGAATAGAAAAAGCAGGAAGATTGCGGAGGAACTCACGTTAATATTAAAGTGTGCCTCAGCTGCGTTCAAGGGGGTAACTCTAATCGGCCGTACCCTCCCCTTGATCGTGAGCGATCGTGCTGCTGTTGCTGCGGCTGCCGTTGCCGCAGACGGTCTCTGTGGTGCCGTTGCTGTTCTCGGTGGTGTCGTCGTTGCTACGTTGCTGGACGCTGTCGCCGTTAACGACGCCGATCGATTCGCGCTGGGACGTTGCCTTACCACGTGACGAGACAGCGGCATCGCGGCGATGAACGTTGCGCTCAAAACCGCGTCCGAGGACCTCCCCATTGTCGTCGCTCCTCGCCATCCTGAACGCCGTCGACGGCTGCACCAGAGAGACGTAAGCGAGACGTCACTGCCTCTCCCCCGGGTCCCGTTCGGCTTCTTTTTTTTTTATTCGTTTTTTTTGATGTACGATAAATCACCCGGGGGTAGCTTATGACACGTGACACGTCGACGCTTTTCGTCCTTCAGAAACGTGAACGTTGAACCGGAGGGATCAATAAAGAGTTTCGAGATAAAATAATAGCTATGAATGTCATTGTTATTTTTTTTCTTTTTGATACTAAAAACGGTCACTTGTTGCCGTTTTCTCTATGTTGAGATTCAAAGAAGCATTTATTTAAGAATTATTTAATATTCGAATGTTTTAATGTGCATCTAACATTACGCAATCATATAATTTACTCGATTGCAGATGGAGTATGCGTGATAAGAAAATATTAATTAATTGATATTAGTAAATAAGAGATGAATAACACATCAGACTTCCTTCTTTTTCGTATTCCGTTTATCATTTCTTATTGGCATTGAAAGTGTCGATAAGACTCGGAAGTTCAAAAAGAAAGAAGAGGAAAGATCAGCAAGGGTAAAGATAATAAGTGTGTGTGCAGTGATAATGTTATGCACACACACGCATACACACAACAATAAAGATTTAAATTTGCATTCAATGCGTTTACAGTAATCGTTCGAACAAAGGCGAAAAGAAGACGCGTTGGCGAATTCAAGGTGGAACTTTCGGGATATTTTGTGTTAAGTGTTGATATTTATGATCGGTCGGTCGTTGAGATTATGTGTGCGTGTTGACTGACGGACGATAATGATTAGCAATTAGCGAGAAGTGACCTTGCCTTTCTTACCGATCATCTGTTGGGTCATCTGGGGGAACTGTTGTACTTTCTCGTGACCGGGCCATTACGTCTTGAGTCATGACGCGGATACCGCAACGCGGAACATGTGTATCGCCGTTATCAGTCGGGGTGATGTGACAAACAAAAATTATTTGTTGACTCTTGAAATATTTCATCGGGATTTCGTCGTTGTATCGCGTTAATTCGCAAACATTTCTCCGGTTGAATCGTTTCGTACGCGAGTAATCAGTGCCAGATTGTCAGTGTCAGTCTCAGTCTCAATACCAATGTCAGTGCCAGTGTCAGTACCATGAGGGAGTATCCGGAATACGGGCGACGTAGCAGTCAGGAACAAGATGCTAAATCGAGATACCAGGAGGAAGGACACAGGACGCCGGGAAGTGGACAAGGATACAACGTATATTTCCAAGTATGTCAAATCGTATTCAATACGTAAAGTGTTTTACGTAACACTTTGCGAACTTCTCGAAAGCAACGAAATATCTTAATGCCGAAATTTAGATCAGTATTCACGGATCATTCAGTAAGTAATTATAGCTTTATGTACGTGAAGCTTTTTCCAGTTATTCGTCAATCTGTGTGCACAGACCGATGCAAGCCTTAACACATGTTATGCAATTGAGAAATAAAATTTCCGCAATATTGATTTATTACTTATTGATGATTCAATAAAGTGGGAAGAATATATCAACACGATATATAGATACGCGTACGCGGTTAGAAAGTACCGGCAACCTAATTATACTGAATGTTAAGGCTATTGTGTTTGCCTGCGTACTTATTTCATACAAGGAATATTGATCGAAACAGCTGAGTAATGGCCATGAATTTGTAATTAATTATGCTCTCAACCCAAGATTGTAATTAATTTACATCCATGAATATACCGGCTTTAGAATTTAGTGTAGGTTTCGCAAGCATAGTTGATTTATACGTCTAATAATGCTCTTTGGGACGTCAGGCTTATCCTGTTGACATCTGTCGACGCTTTCTTCTTACGTTGGTTTAGCCTTGTTGTTGCAATGAATACCAACTTATATTTTCGTTGGTGCACAACGTTATTGGACATACAGCTGTTAATTTTACCCTTACGATCCCTTCCGCTTCATCCTTTTTGAATCTCTAAACTCTATGGAAATTTTCAACACTGATAAAAAAAGGAAGAGAAGTTACGAAAATGTAAAACACGTTATTTTATTTACCCATATTAATTATTTAATGTTTGCTTAGCACACATGTCCCATTCGCGAAACAAAATTAATCAACACATCATTTATTGAAATTAAAGGCCGAGTGAATGCAAATAGAATATTGAGATAATCAAATATACAATTCTGGAATAAGTGTTTCTTTGAGTTTTCAATATGGTAGGTGCATGGCAGTTAGAAAATATATGTCATATTAGAGTAATACAATAGCCTGTATGATGTTATGTCTCGAGACTCTCCATTGGTCTTTCAAGTTCGATAGAACTTGCAGAGTTAATGCAGAACCAAAATTTTGGAAGGCACGATTATCAGATATCAGTCCTCGACAGAGAAATAATAAACTGAAGTGCAAAATGGAATCAAAGGAAATCCGAAACATTGAGGACGCTTTTTGAATACTCCGCATCATGTCGTGTACGTTTGTCCGAGAAGAAAATCCTCGCCAATCTTCCTTTTCACGAAACTTGCCAAATTGCATTCTGATTTTAGCGAATCTTGGCGAATTTGGTTCGTATTTGAATACAGCTTGGCACGTCCGGGACTTGATAGGTAGAGAGAAAGAGAGAGAGAGAGAGAGAGAAAGAGAGATTTAGAGATTTCCGAGTCGTCGCCAAAACGCGGCTTTAGACGGACGAAACACAAACAGTATGTCGAGAAGATGAGCGATACAAACCGAATTTCTCGCGGGTTTCACCACGTGGATTTTCCGTCGTATTAAATCGCGCGATGCACTTGTAGCTGTTCGCGAACGAGGGCCTAATTTAAAAGTGCAATTTAATATATGTAAATTACACATGAAGAGAGATAGAGAGAAAGAGAGATAGAGAAACCCACCTCCGACCGCAACCAGGTCAAACTTCCCTCCGGTCGATGAACGTGATTTAGGGACGTGCCTAAACGAGGTCCAAGGGAATAAACCTTCCGCAGTCTGATTCTCCCACTCGATTTTCCCACGTTGTCCCATTCGCCTGGATCACGTCCGCAAGAAAATCATCACTTAGTTGCGAGTCGCTGTTTCACCTGCGGAGCGAACAAAATGGCCCGATTATTGCGCGCAGTTCCTGAATTTCGCGGGGGCGGTCGAGAGATAAAAATACGAATAAAAATAGAGAGCTCGCGCTTCGCTATTCGAGCCGAAGCAAGGGAACAACCCGCGCGTAAAACTTGCGTATTCTTTCACGAGGCCGATCTCTGTAAATAGGCAATGAATAATATTTCTCGTTCGGCAAATTTCCAAAAGCGCGGCTTTCATTGCGAAACTGAAGAGCTACCGCGGCGAATGACAACTATCCAATTGTGTTTCACTCCGGTGAAATCGATTCCATCGATCTCATTCGTTTCTTCGAGTCTAACATTTATTTCCTAATAGAGATTTATTATGTGGAGAGAGAAAGAGAGAAAAGGAGGTCCTTGTATTTATTACATAGAGATTCTTAATTCGTTGCGCACGTTGCCGTTCTAAATATGGAAGATCGATAACACAATAAAGTGATTCCGTCCGCGTTCGTGTTCAGAAATTCTTACGGTAATTGTGAAATATATCCGCGTCGTACGAAGCAACATTCTTACTCCTTACTGCATCGATGTCAAAAGTCTTGCGAGATATACTGTTAACATATATCAATTCCAACTTATATCAGCCACTTATATATAATTCGCTTATCGTTAAATTACTACGATTGATATCTAGCATTGTTCTAAATGTAGTTTTGCATTATATATCGCGTTGATTGGTGAACCCTTTTTAGAGGATTATCGTTAGAGTACGTAGAGTAAAGCTGGCGAAACGAAAGAATTCCCCGCGATACATCGCGCTCGCTGTTTTCCCTTTTAACGAAACACGCGCCCCTGTCGTTGCACATTCGTTGTTGGGCATGTACTTTCTCTCGCCGCGGTGTATGATAAATAATAAATCCGGAGTGCAAGGGAGAAAGACGCAGAGAGCGGGCAAACACACAGGGTCGTCACCCTACGACACGAGGGTTGCCGACGTGAGGAACGGCCGGGCAGACAGGATGTCGCCACTGCGATCGCGAGCGCAAAGGGAGGGTGTACGTGCACATACGCGCGCGGCGACATCCTGGAGTTCGAGCACGTTACTTGCCGACAGTGGCAGCGGCTGAAATCCTCGCGCGAAAACTTGAGAAACGTAGAAATAGTCGAGCAGAACTAGTTAGATTGATCAAGGTAGACTCGTTAAGGTAAAAGAAGAAAAGCGATCGAGAGATAAGTCGAGAGAGAAAAATTGCGCGAATTAAACCTAATTTAATTAAATATTCAATCGCGCACGCGAATACTCGACATTATCGCCTCACGGTATCGGATTAAACGCGTGAGGTTTAATTATCTCTCCCCCCCCCCTTGCTCCCTTCCCCTGTTCTCCTAATCCTGTCTTCTATTTTATGCGACGTGAACGACACGCGAGATGCATTTGCATCCCCTTGGAGATAAATTACTGTATGTAATCACGCGTATTTTTGCGCGATTGTACTTTATCGAACGGATGCTTCGTCGAGGCACCTTACGCGATACAAATGTCTCCGCTCTCTCTTAGATCCGGATCTGGTCCCGTTCTCCCAACAAAATTGACAGCACGTGCGCGAAATGTAGACACTCCGTTCGAGGTAGGTTCGCGCGCTCGCGCGGAGTCTTCCTTCCACTTCGACTTCATTTTCTCCAGAACTTTTCACCCCCGAATGACATCAATAGGACGCGTATGAGTGCTCTAAGCGTGAGACCGACGACGCTTCGTGGAGGAGCGGCGCATATATTCCATTCATCGTGACTCTCCGCGTAATTTCGAGCGTAAAGTTCGTTCTATAAAGCAACGGGGCAACAGGAGAGAGATAGAAAGAAAGAGAGAGAGAGAGTGAGTGAGTGAGTGAGTGAGTAAGTGAGTAAGTGAGTGAGTAAGTGAATGAATAAGTGAGTGAGTGAGTAAGTGAGTGAGTGAGTGAGTGAGTGAGTGAGTGAGTGAGTGAGTGAGTGAGTGAGTGAGTGAGTGAGTGAGTGAGTGAGTGAGTGAGTGAAACAGGGAGGCGAGGACGACTGAAGAGAATTCTACAATTGTCGCCGCGATCGATTGCATTCCGCGAGCTTTCTGCCAGCGACAGATCTGCTCCCTTTGATCTCATGGCTGCTTTAATCCTTTCCGAGCTCTTCTACTTCTATCGAGCACCTTCTACTTCGATTATTATGTACCTGATCCCTCGTCTTTCTACTTTGCCACCTTTGACATCAAATGCTTTGACATTTAATGCATCCCTTTTCTTGTCCGTCTTTTCCCTCTCCCTCCCTACCTCTCCCTTTAGCCCGTGCCACCTGGAGAGTGCCGTGTTCGGCGATTTGTCTAGACAACGGGCTCTCGCATTCTCGACAGATCGAAAGAAATATCAGCAGAAACAGTGGTACTCACTTAGTCGCGCGTGACCTCGAGATATGAATCGTTTAATTGCGCCTCCTTGAGTCTCCCGATTTCCCTTACGTCAGTATTTAAAGAAGCTGGCTCGCGCATCTAATTACTTCATTACCGAATGTTTATTTAGCGAGAGAGGACTCCGCGATCTTCGCTCTGAAATTTTCTACCTCGCCTAACGTCACTTTGCCACGCCGTATGTATCTCGCGAATTTCTTGGGGATTTTCAAGTGAAATCGCCAGCGACGTGAAGAATGAAAGATCATTCGTAGTTTCAGCGACCTGTATCTACTGCGTGACAAGGACACGATGCTTCCTCTTTATTTTTCAAGATAATTGCGTCGTGGCAATACGTCGAACCGTTTAGTCACACGACGGAAAGGAGGAATCCAACATATTTGGAAATATATCATACTCATATTTTATCAATCAAAGACTCCACATCAATCAAAGGTTCACCCTTCGTTACAAACATCTCAAAATTTGAAAAGCCAATCTCTTTGTAATTACGTAAGCGATGAAATAATCTCTCAATTGATATGTAGTCTCTGGGTTATAACGAAATCCTAAGAAATTCCTTTTACGAGACAACCATCTTAAAGAAGATAGATCAAAGAAGGTGAATATAGTTGAAATGTAGCGACGATGTATAGTAAACTCTATTGCTCCATTGTGTAGCGACAATTTGCAGAATCTCGCTTGATCGAAAAAGCGAGAGATAAGTGATTGTGACTTCTCCAATCGAAATATCTCGAGTATTCTCATTCGCGCGATTAAAGTGTCGTTAATTGAATAATATATAATGTGAACGGTTTTTACGATAATGAAAGTATAATGATAACGTAGGATAAGTGGATAATCCCAAGTGTTCCGACACACTAGAATTTCACGAATGCAAATGTCATCCCGCTCCCTAATTAAGACTAAATACGATCCCCGCGAGACTCATTTTCACGGAACATTAAATGAGATCAAGAGCCGTGACAGTTGTTGCTGTTGGTTTAATATCGCGCAAGGACGACGCAGCGTTCGATTATTTCTTAAATATGTGTATCGGATATATATAAACGGCGATATGTAAATTATCTAATTATGATAATAATAATCAAGATTTCATCGTAATCGGGACAATCTTTTGATGTTGTCACGGAGACATTTCGTCGGGATTTATTTTAATATTTCATTAGCACATGTAAAAAGAAATTTGGCTGGATTAATTAGATGTGAAATATAAACAAACCAGAATTCCGGCTGACGTTACCAGAATTTTGTGTTCAAGTTAATAAAATTCTGGTTGACCAAACAAGATTTCAAAGTTAACTAAAAGTGTTGTTAATTAAAAAAAAATTCTGGTAACTTCTGAAATTTCTGTTTCATTCATACTTTACCAGATATTTGGTTAATTCAATCAAATTCCTTTTTTCGTGCATAATTTGTAAATCCTGTACTTAATCTATCTTTAGATGCGATTACTTGAAATATCTTTTTGTATCTGATATATTTAATTAAGGCTCTGTTTACTTTCAATCTATTTCGGTTTATTTGGCCGTGGGAAACTTTACCTTTACTGTCCTCGCCCGTACAGCGCATGAGAAACCGACTGGCAGCATGCTGCAACGAACCAACCCTTACTTTTTATCGCGCCATACTTTGCAAATTTTACATTTAATTTGTCTTCCGACTTTACTTACTCTATACAGGGTAAACTAATACAAAGTTGTGAGTTGGAAAAGAAATTATTAAATAAAGATTGCACGGTGGAGAGTTGGAAATCATTCTGGAATTTTTCGACTAATACATCACGACATAAAGTACTCAATATCTCGGAGAGTATTTATTTTTCAATTATTTCACTTTGGCATCTTTATACGCAGAACGATTTTTTATCAGAATTTATTTTTGCCAAGGAAAACACATGATTTCATTTAAAGAAAAATGAAATTGATCTTCGTGTATCCTTTAAGCTTCCACCTATACAAGTATTGTCATATAAAGTGCACTCTCTACTGTGCAATCATTGCTCGGCAAATTTTCCTCCAGCTCTTATAGTTTCGGTAATATTAAATGCGCCAGAGGTTTACTCAGGTTTACCCTGGATAAAATCTTGAGATTCGTGCGCCAAGCGCTGAGTCTACGTGGATGCGGTGCAAAAATTCACAAGTATGACGGATGGTTATCGTACACTTTGCTGGCAAGCGTGCGACCTGATTCGAGTGACTCGAAGGGAAACTCACCAAATCCGTTTTCCAGCTCGGCCGTCCAAGTTGGAGAACAACGTGGCGAGTTTCGATTCGCCTCCGCTCGTCCTGTCCTGCCCTACTCGAAAGACCCCGTTCGTCCAGCACTTACATCACCCATTATCTACCATCACCTTCACTCTGCCAGTGCCTCCGTGGCACACTGTCGAAGACTCTCGCGCGCTTATCGACATTTCGTAGGACACACGGTCGTGATATCGAACTTCTCCGAAACGGTTCGTTCGGCGGATGGTCTCTCGAATAGCAAAGCAGCCAATCCAAATAGTTGGAGAGGAATTAAGGAATCTCGGGAATCAATCCGTAGAGGAGGTGTCGAGCCGGTCGATACGATGTCCAATCGACATTTGCCGAGAGAAGCGGGTCGATTCGGAAGAACCTGGCATTCACTTTAAATCGAAAAACTAACCCATCGATTCGAGGCAATTGAAATCATTTCGCATGGAACTCCAACGGAGCCAATTTTCCTTTATAATCCGATAGTTATCGAGCAACATTGGTATTGCATTTGGGAATATTTCTGGAACGACTCCGCGATCGATCCACTTGTCGTCTCTTCATGAAAACTCGCTCTTCATGAAAACCGACATTGAAAAACGCGAGACGCTGGATAACTTATCATCTGCTCTAGTGTGACGGTGGCGTATTTCACGGGCGAGAGGTAGTCAGAGAAAAGGAAAGGTGGTGCGCGAAGGACAGAGCAACCACGAGTCGGGGTCTATCGACCGAGGAGGATCAGAGGGTGGAAAAGGGTCAGAGGCGTGGGAGAAAGGACGGTGAGTTTCGTACGTACCCAAATACGTCGGATGCGATATACCGATGCGCGATCGATTTTTCCGACCTCGGGATCGCACGGTTCGTTAGGCTCCAAGTGGTAGACGCGACGCCTCTCGATAAGTGGCGGGAAATAAGAAGGCGGCGAGAAAGGGAACGAAGGACGTGAAAGGCAGGAAAAGGAAAAAGAAGACGGCTTTCATTTCAAAACGCGCTGCACAGCGTCGCTTCGTGTGTGTGCAACGCGCTTTTAATGTAATAAAATTTGATGTTTAAATTCGGAATTAAACATTCGAGTTAGAACTTGTTGGAATTGAAATAAAATTGAAATCTTTGCCATGGAAAACGTCGAGGCGTATCGCACGGTCGCGAAACACTCGTAATGTGACGACGATTAACATTTTCACAGCGCATTTCCCAGCCTCGATAGCTCGGACCATTTGCTCCATCTTCAATATCCTTTAACCAGAGGACCTGGAAAAAAGGATATCCCTGAGGGATCAAGTGCGAGCCGTGACAGTTATATTAGACGGACTTGCGATTAGGCCGGAGAAGTCACGTCATTTTGACGCGACGCGGTGACTATTTCTGCCCGCGAACGCAACCGACGTGTTGCCGGCTTCGTTTCCGCGAGTTTCGATGATTATTCATTCCCAGTACACGCCACGTGCCACGGCAGAGATACATGACAATTCGACGGAAGATATTCTTGTGTCAGTCGTTTCCTTGAACTCGACCGTTCGACGCTTGACTTGCGGGTGATCGAATTAACCGAGCGCGCTGCCGCGATTTTTACTACCAACGGGTTAATCGAACCCTCCCTCTCGGTCTCGCGGTGATCAATGAAAATTTTCGCAGGAACGATTAGGAGATGACAAAACAGAGAATCCTTGAGTTTATGGTCGTTAATAATAGTAATAATAAAGCTCGCCTAATTTCGCGCGCGCGAAAAAAAGGGTGAGCTTTTAAAACCCGACCTACTTTCAAAATTGATTCGTCGGGGGATGGGCGGACTTGGACACTTTGTACAAAGTAACACGCGCGCTTGACGCAAATTTCAACGATCGTTGAATCAACGATGACGCAAAGCCAGTGACGAGGATAACGATCGAAGAACGCGAAAGGAATCGATGAAAAATTCGCAAGAGAAAGAGTTCTTCTAGGTAAGTCGCGAAAGATATTTTTTCGCAAGAAAATGAAACAAAAGTAACTTTCATGTCTCTATCTCGCCCTTATCAGTAACAAGTAACTCCAACACTCAATCTAAATAAACTCTCATAATAATGAACTTTCGAATAGTATAAATTTTACTATATATTTAAGCATCGCGACTGATAAGCGAGTCAATGACAATGTGATGTTGTTTGACGTTAAGTTATGAAAACTAAAAATGCTAAAACCACGATAGCTTCCTTATCTGAGACGAAAATAACGTTGTTACCGCACTTGCAAAATTACTTTGCTGGTTTATCTGGAATTCTAAATGTTACAGTTAAAATATATCGTTGTGTTTGATGTCTGTGTTTGAAAACTGTCTGTAGTACATAAATATTTTACAGCAACGACATTCTTGTAGCAATATCTATAAGCAAATTTGAGTGAATATGAGAATTATTCATTCGTTTGTCTCTCATCGCTAATCTTGTTTGTTCGTCACAGTCGATTTTGACAAGTGTGATTGGCTTCAATCTGAATAAATGATACAGAGAGATTTTCTCGCAAAATTTCACAAGTAGTTCAGATAGAAATTCTGTCTCTGTATTGATTAAATATAAAACACTAAAAAATCGCTTTGTTGATCCAGCTGGAATTTTATCGCTACGGTTGGTATCTACTAGAGAATTGTCTGTGGTGCACCTAGAGAATTTACAGCAGCAGAATTTTCGCGATACCTGCAAACAAATTTAGATGGGTGAAATAAAATATATGCGACATGTTTGCATTTGTCCATTAGCTAATTTCCCGTATCGAGATTATTTTCGCAGCAAGACCACTTTTTTGAGTGTGTAATTTTACATAATTCCTCATTTATCTATCGTTCCCGTCTTTCGATAAAATATGCTTCGTTTATTTCGAAGAAATGCAACTCTCCGACTTCTCGCTCGAAACTCACTCTACGCGTTATTCGGCATCCGGTGAACGTCCGCGCGCCACATAGAATGAATCTTCCCTTTTTCTCTCTCTCTTTACGCGACCTGATGTCATACCTCCGATTTCTTAACTTTTGCGACACAGACACGAAAAGCGCATACACAGTACATTCCGTATACGCGGCGAGCGCACCCATTCCGCTACTACCTCGACCGTCATTCGCAGCGACTTCAGTGGAGAACAGTCGTCAGGTCGTGCTTATGACAGGCAAATCGCGGACAAGCCGTTCTAACTACTCCCCAACGAGGCTCGAGACAACTTCTAGAGAACTTAGAGTCACCTAGAAAATCAACCGTGAGAAAATCGCGATGATATCGCGGCGTGATGTTAGCGACTCGCCGGCTGCGGCAACTATCGAGTTCCCGAGCGATAATTCATATCGATATGCTCGAGTACCAGTACCAAATGGCTGCTACTACAGCTAATAGTCAGACGGTTATGAGTCCTCGACTTCAATTTCCTCGCCTCTGTGCGTTTTGGCAACAGCACGGTACAAGTGTCGCGATTCGTTGAGTGAATCGCGAGTGGTCGACGAGGCGCTCGTAACGCGGAGTTATAACCACCTGCCTTATAGCGAGATGCACGTTATCAAGTCTGAGAAGGAGGCTCAGAAGAGTTCCTCGTCGAAGACGTCGACGCGGCGGCGCCTTATGCGGTTAACCGCCGTAGGCGCCTATCCTCGAATGACGGATGTCGGATTTCGCCCCTAGCGGACGAGAGATCGGGCGGATTAGGGTTCACGGCGGAAGTCACCGGTCGCCGGTACCGGAAGAGCGAGTTCCGGCAGCCAGTGAGGCAGATCGCAACGTCATGCCCTCGTTCTCTCAGCCTATCTCGACACTCGGCGGTTTACCTGCAGTTAAACGTCTTCCCCGGCCGTACTCGCGAGCTACTCTCCAAGCTCGCCCTATTCCCGATGAAGTCACCCCCGCACTCGCGTATACACTCATGCACACATACATAGTCGCACACATGCACACACACATACACACACACACACACACATATACATGCACCCCCGTGTGCCCACGCACACGGTGCGCCCCTGCCCCCGTTTCCGCTCTCGCCCGTCGAGCTCCCCGCCCTCCGCTCTCGCCCCTCGCGAAAATCGATCCGCCACCGGCCTGGACAGCAGTCCACGTCGAACGGCTCCGACCTGCACCCTCCTCGACGAGCGTTCGGGGGGCCAGCTGCAGCAGCGTCGTCCGACACCCCGACACCGATCGATCCCCAATCAACGCCATTACGTTGTAAAGACCGGGGGCGGTTGGTCGTCGGCGGTCGACGACGAGGTGCGCGATCGCTGGCACACGGTCGCGTCACATCTCTCGAGTCCTATCCTTCTCGCGAAGCGTGCGTCCCGCCGATGATGTCCTTACCTTCCCACCCTGCGCGCCGATCGAGCCGCGTCGCTCATCTTCGCGATCCTGCCACCGCGGAGTTCACCAGCGCGGTTCACCAGCGCGGTTCGCGCGCCACGGTGGCATCGGACGTCGTTATCGCCCTGCCCGTGACCCGGGGTCGCTTCCACTTGCCGTCACACCCGCACCGGGACGACCGATGGCTCCCTGTGGCTGTCACTTGCTCGAGCAGACGAGCGGGGTAACGAAGTAGCGAAGAGGTGTCGCGGTTTCACGCGAATCCGCTCGATTCCACTCGACCTTCCTCTCCTTTTCTCTCTATCTCTCCCTCCCTTTCGAGCTCGCTCTTTCTCCCTTTTTCCGCGCGCGGAGACTTCGCTGAGTCGCAACTCCTCAGTCGCGAATTGCTTCCGCTGACACACGACCTGGCGATTTCTCTCTCGCGACCTCTCGCCGCCCCTGCGTCTCGCGACTGCGCTCGCACGGTCTCGTCGACTGAACGACAGAAACGGCACGTAAGTCTGTCGTGACCGGCGGCACCAGACTGCGCGAGAGATCGCCGGACGCCGCGGACGCGTTCACGGCCCTCCAACACCCCCGAGCCCCTTCCAACTACACCGCCCCCGCAGCTGCACCGGCCGCCGTGACTTCGGCTTCGACGTCGACGTCGCGCCTTCCCTCGTCTCCCCCCTTTTCCCGTCGGCCACGTCCGCGTCCTCGTCCTCGCCCTCTGTCACCGCCGTCCTTGGCTCGCACAGGCGCATCGCGCGGTAGCGCGCCGCGGCTGCGCGCTCACACGCGCGCTTCGCCGTGGCGACGCTTGCGCCCGGATGCACTTGGTCCGTGTACCTCTCTCGCGATACTATCGAGGTATCGATAATCGAATACTCATACCGTGCAAGCGAGATATATGCGTATGTTGTTCTTAATCGTTCGGCAAACCAGCCCGACGAACGAACGCGACCCGTTAAGTCACACGCATGTAAGAGATGTTCCTCGCCCTCGAGGAGGAAGAATTTCCAAGGATGATCTCGAGAGTCCACCCCTTGAGACTTGGCAAATAAAAACTTTCACGAACGACCACTGGATAAGGCGGACATCCGACTCGTTCGACCGTACTCTTTATTCGCCCGTCATGCAGCTGCGACGTCAGTCTAGCAGCGGCAATTAAGCACGCAGCTGTTTTACGCCGACACACGATGTCTATGATGTAATCAGTGTTTAATAGTACCCGAGACGTGTCTGCCAGATATACGCTTGTCGCGCTGCAACGATCATGGTCAGGTACACGCGTGCTCTCGTGCTGAAAGGCGCGTCGCGTTTTTAGCCGCATTGTGTTCACACGATTACCCTAATTGATCCCCTGTACGCGATGAGATCTCCGCTTCTTCGCCAAGTACGTCACTGGTTACAGCGCTATCGCCTCGCAGGCAAACCTCGCTGCGACGTATCGTTGACGCGTTTCCATCCCCCACGCCACCCCCAAGTCGGACGTCAGGCGGAGGGTGGCAGCACGTGTTGCCACCCTTTCGTATCGGGCTGCTGCTGCTGCTGCTGCTGCTGCTGCTGATGCTCGTCAACGCAGACGCGATGTCCTATGCAGGGTCATTGCTGCATTGTCAAGACGCACGCAGTGTATCCTCCAATTATGAGGATCGAGATTATCTCTGACGTGACCAGGACTAGTCCTCCGCGATCACCACGGCTAGGAGACGCTAGACGAGCGTGAAGAGCCATTAAGCTCGCTTTAATAAGCGGATCGAGAGAAATTTTAACGACGCTATATATAAGCACCGATAAATATAATCCCGCTACAACGACGTAGCGATGTGCCAAACGAGCGGGCTGTTAATTTTACTCCGGGATAATTTTATTACCCCTTCGACAGTAGGAGGGTTGCGGTAAGGAGAGGAAGGGTGGAAGAAAAGGAGGACTCGTTTCTCACGAAGTTTCGTCTCTTTGCGGAGGAAGAATCTTCTCTTCAGTTAATCTTTGGGTGACGTGATAAGCCAAAACAGATGGGAAATTATACGGTTTTACGTTCAAGAGTCATTCAGCTAAGAAACAGATTGTAGCGAAACGGTGCGTCCTGCGCGAATGGTATCGGGAGAGCAGCGAGAGAGAACGATACGTGCGAGAGATGCACATCGAGCAGCGCGAACACCTTGTATCGACTTTCTAATCTTCGCTCGACGCTCTACCCGAGACTAGGTCAAACTCACGTGGAGGAAAGGATTTTTAAGAGCAGCTCGTCGATATATCCGAGACACCCCCGTGAGCGAGCAACATTTAGGCGCGGTCTCGTGTCGGGTTAATTCACTTCGCTCTGATTAGACGAAAAAGGCGGTGGCGCGCCCTCGCAGAATTCTGATCCCCGAAATAGATATAAATGGATAAGCATCGCGAGAGAATGACGTAGGATCAATGCCGTGACACGCGACGACTGAGTGACGAGACCAGATGATGCCCAGATATCCTCCTCCGTCTTGTTGATGGTCCGACGAGTCTGCTAACGATGTTCTGATATCCGAAAATGAACCGAAGGCTATTTCTCTTCCATGAATCTCCTCTTTAATATTGCGTAAGTTGGCCGGATTTTTAACGCGATGCTTCTTTTATTAATAATAACGAGATACCACATGCCATGTTCGATCGAAGTATTCGCCAACTTTCAGATAATTATATCTGCTCCCGCGTCTGCTCTCGCGTAGAATGACTGAAATCGAGCGCGATAAGACGAACTCTTGATAATGCGATCGAGAGAAAATCAATATCTCGTAAGCTAACATAAAAATATCTAGAATATTTAGAATCTAGAAAAATCTAGAATATTTATTCGGTAAGTATTAATAACATATTAACATATATAGATCTAAATTCTTGTTAACTTAAACAGAATTATGATAATTTTAACTGAAATCTCTGCTTTTGATTCATATTTTACCAGAAATTTGCTTAATCCAACGAATCTTTTTTCCGCATAAGAAAATTTATACTTTCTTATTTGGAAAATATTTTATATGTTAATATAAGTAGATATGTTATTAACCCCGAATTAATAAACCTTTTATTTAATTAATTTAATTTTTTTTTATTTATTAGTCCAAAATTTCTTATTTTTCTCTCAGAGTATAAATTGAGTTGTATAATATGTTTGTATATTTTATATAGTTTTCTTTCAATATTTTTACATGGTAATACTTGAAAAATTACTCCCGTCATATTTTTTTTTTGTTTCTTATTCTGAAAATATTTTAATAGTTCGAACATTCTAATAAATCTATGAAATATTCCCAAAACACCTGTCGGTTGGTGTATTTTTTTAATTCTGTCGCGTTTTAAAATACATTTTTATGATTTATCACGCGGTCTCGGCTATTAACATGATATTCTCGAATCGAGGGTCTTCCGACTTTTTAACAGGAAGCGTAGAGTCAATAACACATATGGCACACCATAAAATAATCCTTCACGCAACACCGCGCGTGTGAGTGATGAATGGGAGACTCTATTTTTAGTCTCCCTCTGTCCGTCTGTTTACCTCAAGGGGAAAAAAGTACTTCGCGCGCAATTTTCGTCATCATGGAATAAAATTCGACCTGACGTTTCGCTGTGACAGAACACAGTGATAAACAAGCAAGAAGCCTATTCGATAAATATGAGAAATTCTAACTCAGGAAAAGAAAAAACAAGCGGATGTCATATTTAATTTTAGACAGATCATTGATTAAATCAAGAATTTTATATTTCATTTTTCTCTTTTATTTAAATTATTAATGTTATTTTATGTCTGCGTTATATACACACGTGTGCGCACAGCCGTCCCACGCACAATTCGTGGAAAAAACTGAATTGTTACAGAAATTATTAATTAGTAATCTGCAATCATTATTGATGCTTATTAATTAACGTCCACTTAGTAAAAAGATTATCATTTTAACGGAGAAATTGCGTTTGTTAGAAGGCGCGATTTATAATAATCACGGAACTGAAAAACTGAAAACAGCTGAAAAACTGAAAACAGCTGAAAAACTTAAAAAAAAAGAAACATAAAAAAGATTCCTTCGAGCCGGATTTGAACCAGCGACCTATGGATATCTGCATCTGAACACACCTACTACAGTCCACCGCTCTACCAACTGAGCTATCGAAGGTTCGCAATTTCCTTTCACAAACGAACAAGTCGTGTGGTCAGTCACGTAATACATTTGTTCATAAATTAAAACGTGTAAAATACAAGTCTCTTTTTTTATAAAAAGATTTTCGAAGACAAGAGAACTGATTTATCAGTGATCTTGTTATTCCGCTGATTTTCACTAAATATAATTCGATTTATATATAATTCAATAATCATATTTCATATTGTATATATATATATATATATATATATATATATATATATATATATATATATATATATATAT